TATTTGTGCGAAAGCCAAATGTATGTAACAGGCAGAAGGAAGCAACTCCGACCCCATAAAGTATATACATTCTTGATCAGCATAAATAGCTGAGTCGATCTAGCCATGTCCGTCTGTCTGTCCGTCCGTCCGTATGCATGAAAGCAAGGATCTCAGAACCTATAAGAGCTAGAGATTTGAAATTAGATGTAGATGCTCCTAGCTCCCCCGCAGATCGAGTTTGTTTCCGATAGTCGATAACTTACTCCGTTTCCAAGGAATCGATAAAAATCGATATCGATATCCTGTTCTTTGGGCAATTATGGTAAATAATAAGAACTAGAGTCACCAAACTTGACATGTAGCTTCTAAAATAGAATATATGCATTTGATGTTGGAAGAAGAGGTTTCAGTCGGGAACTCCCGACTAGAACCTCTTGTTTAATCGAACATCAATAATACATTATGCTTGTACAGTCTGAATTACTGAAAAGCATGGAATATGTTAGTCGAAGATCCTGTCTCTTATACCATAAGGAAATAAACCTTATTCTAATTTACATAATCAAAATTAAATTGATAAATAAAAAGGTATAAATTGGGATATTTTTCTTTTTATCCAATTAGAAATTTATTGACACTTTTGTCAAAACGTTGCCAATTGTGACAAACATTTTCAAAAGCTCAAGTCTTCCGTGAATTTTTGAATATTTCTAAAAAATTTGAAAAATGGTTTGTTTTGACAAGAAAATCTCAAATCTCGTTTGCGTTTAAGTGTTGAACTAAAATTCTAATTTTAAGCCAAATTCCACCACGGCCCCTCCTGAGCACCATTAATTGAGTAATTTTTGGTCACAAGGGTCAACAAATTGTTTCAATCATATTTGCGTTTAGATTGGACAAATTGTTGGCCATGTTCAGTTTTGCTGGATTGCCAGTTAGCCGTAAGACAAATGCTTTCTGTCAAACTCTGGCTGCCATAAAACTTGAAACGTGCTCGCCTTTGTGAACTAATAAGACATGCAGCGGAGATGAGAAGCAAAACGAAACGAAACCGAACAGGAACTTCCAGTGTTGGCTAATAGATCATTAGTTAGCCAGTTGCTGTGAAAGCATTTGGGTGCTGGTCATGTTATTTGAATATTTATAGCATGCATAACTGTTATTTATGGACAAACATTTGTCACCGGAGCCTGTGCAAAGCTTGACGTTTTGTAAAGCCAAGACAACAGGCAGCTCTGCTGCTCTGCGCACCTCCTTTCGTATGCGTAATATTAATTATGCCCCCGAGTGAAAGTCGCTTTCAAGGGTTGAGGGTGGCCGGACACATTTTTAAAGGAAGTCGATGAATGTATATAAAAACGCTGCTTAACTTGATGGCTGATGATTATGTTGATGACATTGTTGTCAGCGTCTGGGATGTGCCCCACCATTGTCAGCATGCAACAAAAATGGAAAAAAATAATTCATGGCTGATAGGGCGGCAGGCAGCAGCAGCCAAACAAAAGCGGCAAAGTCAAAGAGCGATGCAGCATAAAAAATGCAGCAAAAGGAGCAGCAAGTCGACGAGTCGAGAGTGCATTGACAGTTGACAGCAAGGAGCATGGGCGAGACTGTGACGCAGCCCATGTTGCCAGTTAGAGTCTATGCATACGTGCTGGGTTGCCAGGGCATGGGGGGTAGTCAGAGATTGCTGCTGTTGCTGCTTTACAAAATTGCTTGTTTACTTCAAAGCGTGCATTTCTTGTAGCATCAGCTGCGTCAGGGCGCAAAACAATGCTGTCACTTGGGCGTCGCTGACACACAACGGCAGCAACAACAGCGGGATAGCAATAATAACAGTAAGAGCAACAAAAGCAATGACAACAACAACAATGGCTTTGGCACAAAGTGTGTTGAGTGCATTTTCAGGCGCTGCACATGAGCCGCTGCTTGAGATTTTGCCGAGCGCCTTATGCGGCTGGCGGATATTGCAGCGGAAGTTGATTGAAAGTTTGCTGCTGCTAAAAATAATGGTAATGAGATTGTTTTGCCTCAGACGCTGATACGACACAAGCAAGTTGAGCGCAATCCAGCTGCGATGTCACTTACCTGCTGCAACTACAATATCCCAACCAACTTCCTGATATCTATTAGTAAGCATACAAATATGAATATTACGCATACGCCGCGTGTTTCCGTTTTTGTTGAATCCCTGTCAAATGTAACAAATACGAGCGTATTATGCATTTACAGTTTGATGCATGAGCCCCAGACTGAGCTGCATCCGTTGCTTAACGAATGGCCAGCAGATATCAATGGATGAGTTACGCCGAGCAGCCAACTACGGAGTGCACTCAGGAAAAAATGTTGGTGTTGCTGTTGCTGGTCTGACTTTGATGGACAGCTGCAGCATTCAGCGATTGTTATATGCACCAAAATTTCAGGTATAACAGTGACTGACAGATATGAAAAAAAAACAAATTCTTTAATTCATGCACCTTGCTTAACCGTAAATAGTAACTCTTTTAAAGTTTACCTGTGGTCACAATTTTCTAACAGCATGCAGAAAAAGGCAATTTTGTATATAATGTATGTAATTTTTCGTTATTTTAATATTCAACAATTTTGAGCAAAGTTGGCGTTTTGCTGTGGACAATAATTTTGTGGAAATAAAAAACAATACTCTAGGACTGTAGAGACAGATAATCGCGTCAGAAAATCTCTCGAATTAAAGTTTGAACAAAATTGCTATAACATTTTTAATATCATTTCTGTGTGGCTCAGATGAAAATTGCACGCATGAAACATGCTCCATTTCTTTTTATTTTTCTGTTCACAAAGTTGCAGAATGTTTCCTTCATTTGATAGACAAACAAAATATTGTACAGAGCTGGACATTAAACAGACATTACAAATGATCAGGGGCACACTTAATTGAGCGGACATTTCAAATTTTAATTTGAAGTCAACCGCCTGTAAAAGTACCAAAAACATCAAAGCAGACACAATAATTACTACCGAATAGCAGCAGAAGCTTCTGGGACAAAGGGAGGACGAGGAGTAATGTCTAGGAGGTGACATATGAGCAGTAAGTGCACATTCCCAGATGCTTGTTACAAGCATTTGCTGCAACGATTTTAATTCCTCTCTCACTCTCCCCCTCTCTTTCGTCATTCGTCTTACAGTATGTCATTTTTAGATTCCTTCTTAATTTCGACCAGCGCGCCAAAGTAACGTATTAGAGAGAACGTTGAAAGAAAGAGAAAGCGAGTGCAAAACAGAGATATGCGTATGTAAGGAAAAGTGAGAACGCATGAAATGTTGTCAAACATGACCATTTGGCATTGTCATTGCCATTGGTGGTTTTCAAGCCACAAATCTAAGAGATGTCTGTGCCTGCTTGCTTTTTCATTTCTTTAGATCTACGCCTCAGTGCACATGCAAACGTTTGTCCCGCCACGGCTCTGGCCAAAATATTAAAAAAAAGGAGCAAAATGGAAGAAGCCAAATGAAATGTTCTACCATGTCTCTCTTTCTCCCTCTCTCTCGTCGCACACATTACACATTACACATATAGAATAACTTATACGCTATGTTTGCACAGACATAGACTTAGACACATACACACGCCACCTCGTCGTCGGTGGCTGTCCTCGCTGTGTCCATTTGAGTGCACAATTTCAAAAGGCTATTTTGCTCGGGTTGCCCTTGAGGCAAGTGCAGAAACCGCGACGCAAGACGCAGCTGAAGATGCAGGCGACAGTCCCTACGACGATGCCAACGTTGCAATGTCAATTTGTGTGTGCATTAAAATTGTTGTCAAATGGAGGACCTAAATGGGCAAATTGTTGTAACAAAATATGCTAGCAGCCTTATGCCTGGCAAGGTTAGACTTGCCTAATGCGATTTGCCTGTCCTCTAGAGTCCTCAAATTGTGCTATTCACACAAGTCCATGGCTGAAAGTATTTTAAAGGTTAAGATATGTAAAAACTACACTCCTTGATACATTTTTTTTTTAATTTTTCAAATTTATTTTTTAATTTATTTAGTTTTTCAATTTGTTTATTGTATTCCTTGTATTTTGGTTTGGGGGGACTTCTTCTTTATTCACTTGGATCTTGGATTCCATGTTATTTTCTAGGGCTTAAATAACATACATTTAAATCTTAATTATTTATTTTTATTGGTTTTTTTTCATAAATTTAATAATTTTACATTTACTTTCAATTAATTTATCATTAATTAGCTAAACTAACTTCATTCTGGAATGCTTACATACATACAATTAGTCAATGTATTCTGATTCTGATTCATATTTTTTAAGAGACATCACTTTGAAAATACATTGATATAGCTATAATTTCCTGTTTCTTAACTTTTGATAAGCCGTTTTCTGAATCGACAACAGATTTTTACAACACTTTTTATTTTGTTTACAATTAGCCTAATAAGTTTAAAGGTTTTTTTCTCACTTTATTGAAGTAAATTTATAGTTGCAACAAATAATTTACAGAGTGTTTGAAGTTACATTTATATATATTTCAAATACAAATAAATTTTATATATTCAAAAAATGTTTTTGAAGTTTTTAGTCTTTTAAGTTGTATCTCTGAATATGCAACTATTTCACATTCACTTATGACACATTGATTTAAAAAAAAAATCATATGTTTTTGCTTAAAATTTTGCTATTTACAGTTGCAATGAGCTAGTAATCATTCATTCTATGCTAATTGTAGCTAGTTTGTGTGTGTGTATATGTGTGTCTTTATTCTATTATTATTATTATTATTTTAAAAATGTATTTGTAATAATTTCTTTATATAATTGCCAAAAAGTGTCTTTTTGTGTATATCTCTTGTGATTTGTGAACTTCTAATATATTAATGCTTAAATGTTTATCCATATTGAGCTTAGTTCCTATAAATTGTTGTTGTTCTGCTTACTATACCAATTACTATACTGCAACTAATAGTGTAGTTATATATATTTTTGAACATTTACATACATTTACAAATTGAAATTGGAAAATATTTGCATTCTTGTAATACATTCTTGTTTATATATATATTATATCTGCTGTTTGCGGTGTCAAGAATTAGTACTTACTTTAAGGAAGGAACCTTTTTGTGATGCACTTTTAATTGTAATTTTTTTTTTGCTGTTCTAGAATCGATATAAAATAAAAATAAAAAAATATATAAATAAATCTATAAGCTGTGAAGCTCAGTCAATATCAGTTAAGGAATTACTTTGCGCTGCCCTTTTAATGAAATTATAAGCTTTTGAGTAGTTTTTTATTTGTTGTTCATTTAGCTAGCGTATATTTAATAACGCTTTAAACTTACAACTTCGTCCACTCTTATTGGAATAATTTTTGCATCGTATCTGTTTTCATTATTTACGTTAATGGCAAATAAATCTGATAATTCTGTGCATTGGTATCTTTCGTAGCTCTGCGTTCAACTGCTATTTAGCTTTAATCAATATGGTTTTACAATTTGCTGAATTAAGCAAATTTATGGCTTGCTTTCAAATATTTGTATGCACTGACATTTATATTAACATTGATTTATAACTTGTTTTATTTTGTATCGTATATGAGAAACTGGCAAATGGCGTCTAGCCCATCAATTTTTTCTTTTAGAACTTGCAATTCTTGTAGATTTATTTTACAGTTCAATTTTTAGCTTTCAATACGATTTGGCAACGCTTAGCCTAGACACAAACCTCAAAGATCTCACAATTCCGCTTGACTTGGGCTTAGACGCAGCTCTCCTGCTGCGAATACATGAGCGGCGTGCGTACTGTGACTATTTCGCGCGAGTAGGACTTGCCAACACCGGAGAGTCCAGAAAGGGAACTGCTGGGACTGGCTATGGCCGCAGTCGAGGCAAGCCCGCTGCTATTGCTCGAGACGAGCATTTGGCCATGTGCTAGCTGCTGCTGATGCTGCTGTTGTTGTTGTTGTTGTTGCTGTTGTTGCTGATGCTGCTGGTAGGAGGGTGGCATGGGCATGTTGCCAGCTGGATGATGCTGCAACTGTTGATGCATCATTTGCATCATGGATGCGGAGTTGTGGGGCTGCTGCTGCTGCTGATGGTGATTATGCGGTAGCGTATGATAGCCGCCCGGATGGGGGGGTAACGTATACATTTGCACCGTGCCCGGTGACACGGTTGAGGGCGTCCCTTGCGATCCTGGCGATGATGCGCATGGCCCGAAGGCAGCTCCAGCCACTGTGTCCACCTGCATGGCAGCCGCAGCGCCAGCTCTTGTCTTATATGCATCAATCTGCGCATATATCGTGGGCTCCTCGAAATAATCGTATGTGGGCGGCGGAGCATGTTGATGCGGATGCTGCAGACCGCCCGCATTTGGCTTGTGGCGCTGCAGCGTCGCCGTTGCCGGTATGCTAGGCAACAGCTTGCGCATACTCGAGCCATGTGGCAGGGTGCCACCCATTGCTGGCTGCGACTGCGACTGCGACTGCGCCTGCTGCGGCTGCTGCGACTGCTGCTGGACTGTGCTCTGGCTGGGTTGGTTCTTCTTGGAGCTGCTGCAAGTGGCGCTGTTCAGCGAAAGTTCGGCATAGTGTAGCTCATCGTCCTTGAGAGGGGTTGCCAGTGTGAGGATATGGTAAATTTAATATGGGAAATTTTGAAAATATTGTAGCATTGAATTATTCGCAGTCCTAGAAGTGCGCTATAGCGCTGGCTATATATACATGGCTGACAGTTTGCCCTGACGCTAACGGTAACTTACCTTGCTACTCTGGTAAGCACCGCTGTCCGCTGAGCAGCCGGCGCCAACGCCGACGCTGACGCTGACGCCAGGCTTACAGCTGATTTCCACCTCGCTGGTTGTTGAAAGATGTCCCGACGGCGTTTGTGTTGCTGATTTTTGTTTATATTCGCCATCAACTAAATTGCGAGACAGCGAGAGCGGGAAGAAGGAATAGGAGAAAAGGGAATGCGAGAAAAGGAACGTGGCAGGGAAAGAAAGTTGAAGTTGTTGTTAAATGGCGCAAAAGGCAAAAGTTTTTGGCTACCCAAGCTGCCGGGCACCGCCCTTTTTCAAGGAAATCTGTTGGCAATTTTCGTGACACAACGTTCAATTTTCTTTTCAGATTTTGCCATGAAATTGCTGTATGTTCAAAAAATTGATTAAATTGCTGAGCTGTGAGGCTGTCGCTGATTTCTTCATTGCCATTAATCAAGCCAAAAACGTGTGCACCGGCTAACATCTGTACAAAATTTAAGTGTTGCATAGCTTAAGGCGCATAGGGCGTGATGGTGGGGCTGGCTCTCGACTGCAGACATATGAGCAAACAGACACATGGAAAAGGCAGCTTAGGCAGCAATTAGCTGTCATTTAAATATATCAAGCGTGGCACAAAAATGCAGCCCCGAGACCCTACACATGCTCTTCAGACTGTTTGTTTACCTAGGCTGACTGGCAGTCTGTTTGTACCGAAGCCCGTTTTGCTAATGCTTATAAATTACATAGACAGAAACTCCCGGCGCATTTATCTTGAGGCAAGCGGGAGCTTTGACTGAATTGCAATTGCACTTACCCTCGTTGTAGGGTACGACATCGGGATTCTTCTCGTCGTACATCTCCTCGGAGTGGCTCAATGGCAATGAGATTTTATCCTTAATTTGCAAATTGCCTGGACGTGAGAATTTTGCATTCGAATGTGCGAATTTCTGCTGCTGCTGATGTTTGTGCGAGCGCAGCTTCAGCGCGGCGATGGTGCCAATCGCAATGCAGACCAGAGCCACCAGAATGCCCACAAAGATGCCAATGGATAGAATGGGTGTCAGTTCAAAGCTGCTTGCGCCCTGAGCGCTGCCCTTGTACGACGTTAATGCAACTGTAAAAAGTGGTAGAGAGAGAGAGAGAGAGAGAGAGAAAGAGAGACAGAGTTGGAGTAAACGAGAGGAATCATGTGTAAATCATGTTTAATTTGGAGTCTTTTTAATGCCCAATTAGACAAAGCGTCGCTAAGCAGTCTCGCAAAACAGTTTCCCATTAATAACACTGGATGCAAATTTAATTTTTACTCTATACGCTAATGGGCATCTCTTATGGATTCAAATTTACGATGTTAACAATAATTATAATAATAATATAATAATGAAATTAATAATAAGAATAATAATAACAATACAAATAAAAATATTAATAATAAAATTAGTAAAAACATAATCATTGCATTTATTAAGTTGCATGCTTTCAACAAAGTTTCATTGGACTTGTGTTTTATATCTGAATGATAATAGATGCATAACATTTTCTTAAAAGCAAGTTTAGTGAAGTGTATTCAGCGTTCGATAAAAATAATTTCTTTTTTGCCGCCATCATCAAATTTCACCATTTTTCTTTTACACTTTTGTTGTGACTTTATGAAAAATTAAAACGACGACTCAAGTTGTTTACCCAAAAATGTGCCTGTCTTTGCCAAGTTGGCCATGGCCCGTCCCGCTTCTTTGGCCCAGCCATTGGAACAAGCTCTTCTAAACTTTACTTTACGGCATTTTGTTTCAGCTAATTAGTATTACAATTTGCTTTTGCGCGGCATTTTCATTTCGTGCCAGGCGAAAACCTCCTAAAGACAATTCATTAATGTTAATCATTTTATATAATTTCTTCTCTTTTTTTTTGCGCTGGCGCTTGCATCATTTTTTCCAGTTTTTTTTTTTTTGTTTCTGTTGGGTGGGGCAACTGCAGGGAAAAAGTTTTTGTGTAGCGCTGAGGAATTTACAATTCGTTGAGCAGTTTAGCGTAATTAAATTGCAAGACGGCACGATAATAATAGCTGGGAAAATTTTCCGTCCAGACTTTGAGCCCCAATTATGCATACATAGAAAATCGTATGCAAAATTATTCAACTGACTCTCGGACTTTGCGAGTACGAGCAACATTATCATAAAACATTCATAAATGGCCAATACACGCGCCACATAAAAATCCATTAAAAATTCACAAGTTTTTGACAACTGGTTCGCACAATATTTGGCATGGCGAAAAACGGTCCCCTGCCACCTGCAGACATTTACTACTTACCAGTTTGCTTTTCGGCAGCCTTCAGGGTGTATCCATCGACTGCTACGGCCTCACTGCGTCCACGTCCATTCACCGCATAAACATAGATCCGAAATAGACGACCCGCGTCCAGCCCGCTGACACTGAACACCGAGAACTTAGCGCTGATATTGGCTTGCAGCAGCCCGTTGTGCTGATCAAAGATTTCCATAAGGAACCATTGGCGCATGCCTCCATCGAAGCCTATAATTAAAGAAAAGCAAACAATTTGTAAGACTTATCAAAGTTCAGCTAGACTTAGTTTGATGCTGTAGCTTTTGTAACATTTGCATATATTTAAAATACCTCAAATACCAGAGGCATCAAGTTCTTCCAGATTAATAATGGAAATAAACAACTAGTCGGTGAAGGCTGATATTTTAACTAAATTCTTATAAAAATCAAAATATTTATTTATAGCTGAATACACAGAGTAAATGCGTTTTGAAAGCCAGTTTAATGTTTTTTGCAGCTAAACACCGTAATTATATGTTAACAGCTTGACGCCCTTTATTTGCGTATTACGAATGCAAACATTTTGTCTGAGAAAGCCTCGTCGTGCCCTTCTCTTTAGGGTGGTTCAAGTGAAGTTAACAAAAATACTTGAAGTAATCTAAAGCTTCATTTTAAATGCCATTTAATAACACCACAAAAGAACTGGCCGCCCACTTGAATGGAGATTGTTCGCCCCACCCACCAGTTGCAAATGTAGCACCCTTTACCAAAAAATAAGCGGCTAAAGTTGCTGTTCTTCCTTTCGGCCTTGTTGCTGCTGTTGCTGCTCAAATGGTACTTCGTTCTAAACACAAAAGTCGGCTTAAAACACTTGCGAAAAATGTTAAAATATTTTGTAATAAAGGCGGCGCTTGAAAAGGTTCCTGCCCAACTACAACTTGAGTCGGTCAACGACGGCAGGAGGGACGTGCCACCCAGAGGAGAAATTGTTGTGCAAAATGTTTTATATGTTGCTATGAATTTAGCCGGCATTGTTGTACTTATTTTAGCCAACTGTTGTTGTAGTTGTAGACGGTGGTAACTACAGTGGCGCTGCTGATGGTGGTTGTTAGCACAAAGGCTGCACGGAAATAGAGTCAAAAGAATGTGCTTCGCCTTTGCTTCAAAGGCCTTTGTGTGGCATCATTGTTTGTGGCCAGGGGTCGCTCGTTGGTTGGCCATGGCTATATCCAAAGCATTTTGTGCGCACTTTAAAACGTTTAGCTAATGAAATTTGCCGCAGCATCGGGCCAAGACAAGCCAGGCAACAACAAAAACTTCATTGTAATGGGTTAATTTTATTTACTTGGGCCAGGCTACAATGGAAATTGCGCAACTCGAGCAGAAATAATAAAGCAACGGCAGCAGCAGCAGCATCAGCGGCAGCGGCGGCGGCAGCGAGCAAAATGTTATAAACTGAAATTTTATTATATTAAACCGACGCTTGATGAGTTTGGTTAGTTGCCTCCGTTGCCTCGTTGCCTTGTCTCTCCCAGAGAGCAAACGAGGTAAAGAGAGCGGAAGGAGAAAGAGAGAGTTTCAGCTGAAATGGTTGGCTAAGGGGCAGCCTGTGGCAGGCAACTTGCCCTCAAGTTGTCTGTGAACCGCAGCAGCAGCAACACCAGCGCGCATTGAATTGAATTCGAGGCAAGTTTTCATCCTCGTCCTCGTCCTCTGCCGCGTCCTTGCAACGTCGCGTTCAGAGGCGGCAAGTTGGCCAACTTGCGTGCTGGCTTATTAAAGTCGAAACGTGCAGCGACCGCAGCTTACGTTGCGTTATTATAAAAAACAAGCCAGCGTTGGTGGACGGGCTTTTCCCAGGGTTGCGCGCGCGTCATTTGCTTTAATGTAAAGTGCAATATAAGAAGTATCGCGTTTTGTTGCTGCCGCTGTTGTTGCTGTTTCTGCTTACCAGCTTGCGTTAAACTTTTAATGATGCTGATGACTATGATAATAATGTGCAGCCACTAAATTAGCAGGCATGAGGGCTACAAGTCTTTAGGAAATGTACATAAAATGCTCAAAGCGAGTAGCTCGCACAATAAAGGGCGTATACATAAAACGCACCTTACACTAAGCAATAAAATAACGATTTTTAAGATAGAACTCACTGAATATCATTAGAATGAACCCATTTTTTATAACTTAAATCGAAAAATATATAAAATTTTAAGTATTTCATAGTAGTTTTGATTAAGCTGGTAAGACTTAGTCCACCACTTTCATGTATACAATACCCTGCTCTCTTGTCCCCGTTGCCCTGTGCATCACTATCAATTTTGTTAATAAAACAAAATAGAAAAGAATTTAAAGAAACCTAAATGTTCACTGTTTTATATCTCCATGTAAAAAACTGCTTCTTCCAGAATGACGGATTGACAAAGCTGGCCAAAAGCTGCCCTTATCATTTTAGATTCGTTTGCTGTATTAAATGTCATAAAAAAAAAACAATAAATAAATAGGAAAAAGAAAATAAAATATTGAAAAATGTATACATATTTAAAAATTAAGTTAAATTATCTAGTTTTACACATTTAATAAAAGATTACAAAAATATTGAACACTATGAAATATTATAAAATGACATTAGATTTTAGAAAAATTGGCAACTAAATTTAGGTGCAAAGCAGTGAAAATGTTTAGGAATCACGGTTCAAAATTTCGGCAAATAAAATATAATTTAAAACGTATTTAAATATTTGTAAAATATTTTTGATGACTATTCGTGTACTTGTCTCTCAAATCGCATTAAGCATACACAGCGTCTGGCGGGGTAGCTAAGCTAAGGCTTGAGACAAACAAAATTTAGCGCAAAAGGGTTGTCGCCTCGAGAAGGGGGTTGGTTACCCTAAGGAATAGGTTTGTCAAGAAGGCTAACATTAGGGCATGCATTAAGTATGCAGTTATTATGCGCTTTTTGTTGAACTTTCAGCAGCCGCCTCGTTATGCGTCTGTTGCTTCTGCTTCTGTTATTCGCTTTGCTTTGCACTTGAGAGCGTTTCGAGGGCTGCATAAATGCATCATAAACTCTACTCTTACAGTCGCAATTTGTAAGGACATTTCTCGACTGCTGTCCTCTGGCTGGCTTCTACTTTGTGCTAATATGCAACGCTGTGGAGCTGAACTTTGAGCTCGGCTGCAACAATTTGTGCTTCTTATTTTGCGCTTTGCTGGCAGTTTTCTATCTTTTGCATTTCCGTAGCGCATAAAATATGCGAATTGAATTTGTATTTAAAGTTTTCGCCTTTTGCATTTGCTGTTGCCTTTGCTCTTGCGCTTTTGCCTTTACTTTAACTGCCAGCAAGTTGCATAACAAGCCAAAACATTTTGTATTTTCAAATTTGTGCTTAACTTTTGGCGCTCACTGTATTACGTCTCTGACTCTATTGCTGGCTCTGCTGATGCTACTGTGCGACTACTTCATCATTTTATACTCCGGCTTTATTTATTTTTGGCAACATTGCGCCATGAACCGTTTGGCGGTTAAAACTTTACTACATTTGCCAGCCGCTTTCTTTTTCAACAAGTACTGCAATCTTCTCTAACGCTAGAGCATTTTGTATATGGACTATGGCTATTTCTCAGCGTGTTGCCTTTTCTAGTTTAATGCTTTCATTGCATTTTTATTATTCGCCTGTATCTCGAAGGAAGTTGCACACACATACACACACACACACACGCGCATACACAGATCCACACACTCGCATTCTCATTCGCATTGCCTGCTGCCAAAGTGCACTTAAGTTGCTCATGTATTTTAAATGAGTCTGAAAAGCGCTGCAGGAAACCCAACAGCATGCTCATACACATGTACCATGATTTTCACCATACTCTTCAAACTCTCTTCTGGCCATTTAACAAGCCATGCAGCACATTGCTTGAGTTGTGGCTATCTTTTTTTTATCACACACACACAAATATTCAGGCATATATGTATGCATACATATATATCCTTTTTCGACCATTGATTTTCTCATCAGCAATTATAAAAGCTGGTCAATTGGCTGGCGATTTCTGGCAGCCTTTGAGTGTGGCCCTGTACTCACCTTCGAGGCAATAAACCTCCAATGAATCGGACGTTTGATTGACCACGGTACAATTGGTGGGCGCTTCCGGTTTTCCCGCAGCTATCAAATGGAATACACAGGGCTCCTTTTGTTGACCCACATTGTTGTCCGCCCAGCACATGATGGTGCCGAAGTCCATTTCCTGTAGGTAACAAATTAAAAAAAGTATTTCCAAAAAATTGTATAAAAACGTTTTTATTATGCCTTGTAAAAAACTTAATTTAATTATTATGCTCCCATCTTCATTATTTTTAATAAATTAATCAACGTATATCAAGTTGTTTTAAACAGTTAATTGTTATATCGGTAATTGTTGCATTATGTAATTGTAATATGATTTTAATGCATTAAATAATAAATTAAATACACAATAAAACCGTTAAAGTTGCTTTCGGTACAGTATTGTGGCTCGGTGGCGTATGCGTAATGTGCTTGTCAGACCGCCTGATTGATCGCAGCTGTCAATAAGTCTTTCATTAATATAATTTCATGTCAATAAAAGCACACACACATATACACACTTGCACACATGCACAAGAAGAAGTGAAAGTTTTCCCAATTTGGCAGTAAAAACAAATGAAGCATTTTGTGGCTGGCTATTTGAGCTCATATTTCTCCGAGTCTGTGATTGCTGGGGCCACAAGGAAACTATGTTAACATGGCTTTAATGAATGCCATGTGTTTGGGCATGTTGAACCTGGTAAGTGGCCACGCCCTGCGGGCCCATTGTTGATTCTTTGTGTGTGTTTGTGTTGTGTCAAATGTTGTGCTAATGAAATCCTCCAACTCTATTACGGTCAAATGAACAACAACATTCAAGACGATTGATTTGTTTGCACAAAAACAAATACATATACGCACACGCGCGCGCGCAAATACTCAAATAGCAGCTTGCCATGACTGTGTCTATTTACCTTGGGAATTGTTAGCTGAAAAAATAAACGCACTTAATCAGCGCAAGGCGTCTTGAACTCATTAAAAATAAAAATCACTTATACAGCGCCCAGTACGCTTCAAAATGTCACGCAAAGTGCAGCTTATTTATCAGTTGGAGCGCGCACTGATTTTTACACCCCAACTCTCGACCTTCCAGTCAAGTTAAAACCGGGCGTTCTTGTCATTTTAATTAGGGCAGAAAGAAAAAAAAAAACAACAAGTTTAGAGTTTTCTTAAATTGAACACAGCGAATGGAAGAAAAGTTTTTAACGCAAAGGAAAACGCACTGCGAACTTTAAGAAAAGGTGTAAAAAACTAGAATTGGTTGAGTGCGGTAAGTCGAAAAAAAAAAGTCGAAAAACGTTTTAAAATATAAAGTTTAAAAAAATGTTAAGTATTTGTTTAAGCTAAAAGCAACCAGACACTTGAATTATTTGAGACTGAAAGCGCTGCGTTGCCTCATGTAGACAATGAGGTATTTACCAGCTATGCACGTTTATGTCAGATGCAGGCAAAGTATTTATGCAAATTTATGACAACAATGAAAATTAAAATATGGAGTTATATATATATATATATATATATATAAATGTATATACACGATTTATTTATATGACATACACTTCTACTGGGTTGTATTTAGCAAGAGTGCTATCACAAAGGCGGCAGCTTGGCAGCTGCCAGCACTTCGCATCAACACCTGCCCAACAGTGTGGGTGTGTGTTGTGTGTGAATGTAACCGCAAGCAACACACAGACTGCGGCGAGCACATATGCTGCATATTAAGTAATAATAAATTTGCAATATACACACACAAATTCTCGGAATATAGTGATGAGAATAAGGCATTGTGAAAAGCATTGCATAGTTTTTGGGGCTGCTGCAATTGTCAGCCAAGAAGATGCCAAACTTTTAGTTGCCAGAGCATAAGCAAATTTTTGCGTACATTTCACATACTCTTTTCTATACACACAGTATGTGTGTCTGTATGGGTACTGCAGATTTATGCCCAACTATGAATATATATATAATCATTATGTACTGTTGTTTTTATTATTTTAATGTTGCTGAAACTAGCGTAAATATTATTACAGTTGCGGAGCGCACAGATAAAAAACACAAATGCCTAAATTGTTTCTGGGAAAACAAAGACACACACACACGCAAACGCCCATTTAATTTTGCTTTAAGGCATTGTCTGATTTTTTGCCTATCTTCTGCTTGTCTGTTGCCTGCATTTTTATTGCATTCCTGCCTAGTGCTGACAGCCCGAAAAATAAATGTTATTGTTTATGTATTTTAATTAAAATTTAAACATTTCGGTGACATTTTAATGAGTTTTTCGGCCGGCCATTCTGTATGGAAGATTTTCGACAAATTTCGTGAGCTATTTTCATACGTGCTTGCATCTCTACGGAGAATGAGTCTAGTAGGAAAAGCCAAGCCCAAATGCTCACACATGCAAAAGAGACCGAGACGGGTCGAGAGAAAGAGAGCGAAATGCCAAAGCATGGCGAAAAATTAATGAGCTGCTGGCTGTTGCCTGCCTTTGAGCAAAACACATACAGAAAATGGAAAATAAAAAAAAAAAAAAGAAGGAAAAATCAGCCCAAAGGACTACAATGTCAGCGACGTAGCTTGAGCTGCGGTTGCGGAAGCCGGAAACAGCATATATGACAACAGAACGGAAGGGATTTTTCATATTCAATTGAGCTAAATGATTTATGTGTGGATCTGTGTGTGCCTTTGAGTGACTTCGTATGTGTGTGTGTGTGTATGTGTAACTATGTTTCTGTGTGTGCGTGCAACCAGCGCTGGGCGACTGTTTACGAACGGAACTCATTTGAATGCCGTTTGACTTGCAACATTTTTCTTTGACTACTGAAATGTAAGCTCAGCAAGTCATACAGGACATTCGATCCACAGAGCCATAGGCTACTTTCGTGTCGCCCATATAAAATAATGTTGGATAGGGCGGGTGGCGCACCATTTTAAAATGGGTCAGTTTAGCAACTAACCGAACCACCAGTCGGCTTAACAACTATGTTGTATGAGTGGTTCGCCAAGAGTTACATATATGGAAAATTGTTGGTGTTGTTGTCATTGTCATTGTAGCCCAATGACAGCCATTCTACCTAACAAGCAACAACAAGCTGACACTGTTACTTAACAGGTTTATGTCCCCAATAAATGAAACTAGTCAATGTCCGTGAAACGAATTGCACTTATGACTAGAAATTAGCTAAGATAATGGTTTTGAGTTTTTTTCACATCTGCCTATCTAAAAACAAGTAAGAGGTTTTAGTCGGGAGCTCCCGACTAGGGGATACCCTGAACCCTCTTCTTCCAACATAAAACGCATATATGTATATATTCTATTTTAGAAGCTAAATGTCAATCGATATCGATTTTTATCGATTGCTTGGAAACGGAGTAAGTTATCGATTATCGGAATCAAACTCGATCTGCGCAGGCACTAGGAGGCACTACGGACGGACGGACGGACGGACGGACGGACGGACATGGCTAGATCGACTCGGCTATTGATGCTGATCAAGAATATAAATACTTTTTGGGGTCGGAGAAACTTCCTTCTGCCTGTTACATACATTTGGATTTTGCACAAATACAATATACCCTTATACCCATTTTTAATGGGTTCAGGTTGCTGCTCCTATAATTTCACATTTTTCTTTCTTCTAAGCTATAAATTCTCTAAAATCTTCTTAGTCTCCTGTGCCTGACAATCTTCCTAGTTTTCCATTGCTAAAGCTTTTTAAACTATCCCCTTTCTGTGTTTTTCATCTCTTTGGAAATAATCTCATATAATTCCTCTCCACAAGAAATGTGGAAAATATAATATACAAAATTACAGGGGCATTGCAAAACTGTTCACTATTCCTATATTATTTGAAAAAATAATATATTTGAATTTGCAGCATTTCTTCAAATCAGTTGTTTCCCCTGATCAACATGGACTCGCAAAAAATCGGTCCACTACAATTCGCTGAAATAAATTATGCCTTTCTTTCTAAAATGCAAACTGACATTTACTCTTTAAACTTTACCGTATAGGTTTCCCTCATCTCTTTTGCATTGGATTTCTTCTTATTTAAAAGGTAGGACCAAAAGAGTAATGCTGTGGGTATCTACCTCAAAGCAAGTTCAATTTACTTCTGGTGTTTCTCAAGGTAGTCATCTTGGACTTTTACTCCTTACTCTTTTTGTAAATGATCTCCCCTCGGACGACTTGAAACTTATTGTTTCATACACTAATCCCCTACATCATTCTCGTCTAAAAGACGATTTGAACGCTATGCAAATTTGGTATTCAGCCAATCAATTGCATCTAAATTGTTCAAGGTGTATGTTTATGACCTTCGATCGAACTTCACCTTATTTTGTTAGCAACGTATACTAACAGTTAAGGATCTAGGCGTTATTTCAGTTCTAAGGACTTAAACGATGCTTTTATAACGAAACTTCCGTACAAGTCTCTTGTTCTCCCTATCCTTGAATACTGCTCTTGCATCTGGTCTCCGCAGTATAACAATAGACAGGATCGTATAGAATCTTTCTAAAAGCAATTTCTGCTTTTTGCCTTACGAGGCTTAAATTAGGATCCCAATCTACTACTACTCTATTCTATCTGGCTGCTTCTTTTTAATCTTCCGTCGTTAACCAACCGTAGGACAACCCTCGGTGTTGTATTCCTACATAAGTTGATTGATTTTCTGTTATGGCGTCTTCAATTCTCTGTTCCGTCTTGACCCACCATGACTTATTCCAATCTTATTCCAACCTACGTGCACAACAGACTATGCTATGCACAATTCATTTCACGTTATGTAAAAATTACAATAGCTTTTATAACTTTTTCTTTACCGATCTATCTACTATCTACTTACAACTATATATATCTAGTATACGTTTATTTACTTTATTAACTGCTTCTTTCTTTCTTTTTTCCTAATTATTGTATTTTCTTAAATAATATAGTAAATTGAGATTATTTCTAATTATTACTTAAGAACATTTTCCCTACTAACACCCTTCTTCTTAGCTGTAGGCTCGAGTAGTGTCACGACACTCGTTCTTGTCAACCATTTAATAAATAATTAAATAAATTGTATAAATATGGGATCAAGGGATCATCAATCAAATGCTCATATAGTAGTTGGTTGCCTTAAGCAAACCCAATTGTCTGGTCCATAATTGCACTGCATATTCTATTTTGAATTGCCAGACTATTAAAGGGAACAAAGGCAGCTGCAGCAGCCAGAGCGCCCACTGGATAAAATTCTATTGGTGTTGGATGGTGGAGGGGGAGGCGCTTTGGGCAGAAGGCGCATTCGGTTACTAATTTTTGGCATTGATAGGAATGCAGCTCTTTGACGGCCAATTGGCTGCCCAATTGGCAGGATGGTAATCAAATCTAAAATGTGAAAACACTTTTATAGCCATAGTAATGGGCCATATCGATGACGATAACGTTGGCAATTTAAGTGGAAATGTTGGCCAATTGTCAGTCATATAGCGATCGCCAATGGCGAGTCAATTGTATAGCTCGTTGTTTCCGTGCCAGCAATACAAGGATTGTTGCAACTTAGAACCAGAGTGGAAGTGCCTTTAATATTATGAACCTACCTCTGACCCTTGCTGTTGGCATTGTTGTTGGCAGCGCATTTAATTAGAAAGCACTAATAGAATTTTTAATTAAAAATGGCTCATGCGCTGGCCGAAAGCCAGATAACGCCAACCCTCAACGCGCCCACAACTCGCTTTGCCGGCTCGTGTTGGTTTTACATTTTGCTTGACAATGTGGCACGCACACGAGACACAACAACAACGCGTCAGCTGCCTATTAATTACAATTTTGCCATTTAATTGGAAGCCGCGCGTTTAGCTGCTTCGTCTACCATTTGGCCAAATGTCAAATATGTCAATAGCAATATCACATCAAAGACATGAAATTAAATTAAAGTCTGCCAAAAATCAAACCGGAAAGACAAGCTTTGACCTCACCAAACACCCGCGTCTGTATGCACCACTAAACCGCCCATTTAAACACTCACACGTACACACACACCCACATACATCCCATGTGGCTTTTCTATCGGTTGTTCCCATGTTAAGCATTTAACGCCATGTCATTTGTAATTTTCATAATGCAAGCGAAACGCAAAGCAGAGCCACCGTTGAAGGGGTTAAGGCTGGTGTGTCCCATCAAATAGGTCAAATATAGATATATGACATTTATTGCCATAACAATGCGTACTTACCTTAACTGGCGTATAGGTCAGCGTGGAGCCCTGTGCGGAATGTGGGCGGAAGCCACTCTGTGGCATATCGAAGGTCTCCGCGGTGTTGTTGAAGGACCACTTGAAGTTCTCGGGCGGCGGAAAGGCATCTACTTCGCAAACGATTTCGGCCGACTCGCTGCGGGCCACGCCATAGATTTTCTTTTGATCGGGCCGGCAAATTGGTTTATCTGTAGAGGGAGATGGATAGATAAAAGAAGAGAGGAGGTGAGCCAAAGTTAGAAACTTTGATTTTTGTCGAGTGCATTTTGCTGTTCGTCGGCGGCTGCTGCTGCCAATCAATAATCGCATTGCTTGCCCAAACTTAATGCAATAAAGCCCGAGCAGTTCGAGTACATATTCTCCAGCTGAAGAGGATGGTTGGGGTTTTTGTTTTTGCATGCCACGCCCAGGCCCGAAAACCACACTCAAATCCTAAGTAGAAAAGTTTGAAAGCACAAAAAGCACCAAGAGAGACCTTTTGCATTCCGTGAAGCCTGTGGATGCATGCTTCGTTCTTGCCCATTGAAGCAACTAACTAAACAGAGTCCGCAATAACAACAGAAACAAAGCAGAGCTAAGCAAAAGAAAAATCTAACCAAACGTTAAGTAAAAGAAAAACTTGACCGAAACTTAAGTTCTGAGCCCGTAACGAAACAGCTAGGAAAATTCAATTTCTTCTAATCCTTGGCCAGGCTACAGCTTCAGCTGCAACTGCATTCGACATTGCAAGTGCACACACAATTTATTGTACAGTTTGACAACTCCCAATGTTGTTCGAGTTGCTGTTGCTGCTGTTGTTATAGCCAAAGCCAAAAGTATGCTGTAAACAAATTTGCATTGAGCAGACCAATGCGCAGACCAAGTCCAAGCGACAGGCATTGGGTTACAGATTGGGTTTTTGACTGTGGCTATTTCAATCCACACTGGACCGAAGTGGTGTGCGGCCACAATTTGGGTGACAAAAAACATTGCACCACCGCTAGATTTTTTTTTGGAAAAGTGGGCGAGCCGGCCATCAAGCGGAGTTTAAGTTAAAACAAAGTGAACGCAAGAAAAAGAGCTAAAGTTGTGAACACCGAAATAAAACAACGTAGAAGAGTACGAATACCCTTGCACACATTTAGCAGATGTTCGATTTATTACTGTACTCAGTCACACAACTGTGTTTTTTATGGAATACATTATTGATTATTTTCGCCAGCCAGATGGGGCTTTAATAACTAAGCTCGTCGGCCTGTTCAGAATAATATATACTGTACAAACATGTTTGTTGTCACATTTCGTGAAGGAATTAAAATACTCTGGTCAAGGGTATATCAAAGTGGTTAGTGCTGAGTGAAAACACTGTAACAGGAAATGGCACAGGAAATAAAAACATAAGGCAACAACAAAATACAACAAAGAGAGCAGCCACAAAATGAAGCTGGGAATAAAGATCTGTGTGCTAAATTGAGTGAAAACGAGAAAATAATTAACGGGATACCTTTTCTTTATTTTTTAATTCCAGGTTCAACACTCTTTGTAAACAAATTGGGCAGAAGATTTGAATTCAGGAATATTTTTGATGACTGAGGCAAACCTACGGCTGTGGTTGAGGAGTCTCATATTAACTCTACGTTTGTTTCTGCTCGGACAATACAAACTCTATACTTCCTACATTGACTACGACTGAAGTTGAGAAGACTTGGAATTAAATGAATCTCTACAGCATATATATTGTTAATTACCGACTATATAAAATTTCTTAAACCCTCTAAAAAATGATTTAACAATAATACAATCTGAATCCAATTAGAAACTTGAACCCGTTTCTGTAAAAACAAATTCATAAATTGACAATTATTTATTAGCTCGTCTAACGGCGGGGTTTGGTGTTGTTGGCTTAAGGAATTGCTCTCAGTCAATAGCAAAATACCTAAACGACAAAACGCAGGAAGCCGGGTACTGGCTGGTTGGTCTAGGGTAAGATGTGCTTATTGTGGGTTGGTTTCCAGAAATCGTAGTTGCCAACCGCAAAATTGAGCCCGAGCCAGCTCCAGGTCGGCTGCTGTTGCTACTGCAGTTTCAGTTGCAAGCACAAAAGAGCGACAATACAAAAGGTTTTCGAGTGTAACACAATAACGGGGGCGTATACGCAATAAAGCTGCTAGAAGCCCGCACGGCCGCACAATGCGCCACTCTCTCCGACCACTCGGCCACTCAATAATGCTGCCTTTTTGTGTGTCAAAGGTTTGCACCAAAAGCCTAAGCAGTGCAACCACCACCGCTGTTGCGGCTGGCGAAGCAGACTGTCAATATGGTGGAGGCAGCAGCCAAACGGGATTCGATTTAATAGTCAGTTGGCATTTAAGAGTTGCGAATGTTTGTTAATGGCTGAAACCGAACGTTGGGTCATGTGTTGAAAGAATGATGGCCCAACGCAACGCCAATCGCAACCATTCAGCGCGTATTTTTTATGACCCAAGCCACAATAACAATGCCGAGCGCCATGCAAATCGACACTCACATATCAAATATGGGCCAAGCTTAAAATGTTGCGCAGCGTTGCACACAGCTATAACTTTCGGTTTGGTTTTTCAGCTCTTTCCTTTTTGAAGTGCTAAATAAAACTCAACACGTGCCCTATAAAACTTGACATGCGACTGCTAGCGCAATCGTTAACAACAACAAAGCTTTTATATAGTCGCAATCAATTCAATGAAATCCTAAAGAAATGGGGCGCAGTTCAACTCGAAATTCGACTCCAGCTACCCCGACCATAATTTAAAGTCTAACAAATCCATAGAGCACTTGTACTTACACATTACTTTCAGCTCGACTATGTTTGAGTCGCCATCGCCCTCAACATTGGAAGCGGTACATGTGTAGTTTCCGGCCTGGTGGCGGGTGACGCCCTGCAGCGCCAAATCTCCGCTGCTCACAATTACGCCGGCTCGCTGATTGTGCTGTATAATTTGATGCTGCAAGTGGTACGAAATATAAATAGCATATTAACATTAGTCTTCAATTATGAGCAAGTTATGCACTCCTATCATTATACTTTGTTTGTGCTAATGAGCATTTTCCTTTGTTTCTGTCTGTCATTCACACACGCTCAATGGATGCTACAGGTGGATGGTTATCAAATAGAAAAAGCTATGGCAATTAGTAGGATTATGTACACGACATATACACAACGGCCCATTATAGCTGAATAGCTCTAATTAGCTTATTTTCTAAACGTTCTACACTCGACAAGCACAGCCGCGTCCAGGCAAACAAACACTCCAGTAAAGCTAATTAAGGAAATTAAATTTCTTTCTTATGAAAATAATTGCTGTTTTAAAATATTTAAATCTGCTTGTCCTGGCTGAATTAATGATTGACTGATTGGTGATCCACGCACATCCCAAGCCCGTAGTTACATTATGTGATTGGGGTTCACGCAAAGACGGAGCTTTGGGAAACTATGTTCAAACTGTTTTGGAGTTTGCACACTTTTCCAAAAATCCATTCTATCTTGGTAGAAATGGAGGTCAAAGATTTGGTCGATGATGTATCGACTTCAAATTCATTTCCAAGGATCCTTATGAAAAATCATTTCCGAAGTGTTTCACATTTGACGGTACATTGGCAACTTTTTTGTTTACCATCGGGCTTCAAACTCACTTTCAAAGATCTTTGTAAAACATTATTTAATACGTCTTTCACAATATCTACGGCTCTTGAATAGAATGTGCAGGTAAAACTGAGGTTTATTGAACGAAAGTGTATTTTTCGGCTCGAAGATGGGAGACCCTTGATTACAAGTTGTGGTACTTTATTCGATGTACTTTTATCTTATTTTCAAATTTCTTTGTAAATATTACTTATTACGTTGAGTTCAATACAGTATGGGTAGATCTACGGGCGGGATATGAGTAAACAAGATACATAACAACGGGAAACATTTTCTTAAATAACATTTTCTTAATAATGTTGAAATAAGGGATTTTCATATTTTTGGAGGCTCACTTCTATAAATCAAACAAGCTAAAATTGCGTAAATTGAAATATTCAGCATGTCATATCATTTCGTTTCATTTATTTAACCAGTAGTGAGGCTTAAATAAAATAATTTATAAATATATATATGATATTCCAATAAAAACAGGAGTTTCATGCAAATGCGGCCTCTTAACATATTTTTAAATGCAAATATTTTGTATAGGCTAACATTTACTTATTCATTATTACCTTTTTTATTATTATTTTTTTTTGCTAAAGATTGTTAAAAGATTTATAAAATTAAGTCTTTTGTATATGCCAGCATTTGCTTTAACATTTATTTTTTGCATTTTTAAAAGATTATTCATGCAATACATGCGTAAGTCCAAAAAATTGCCATTTAGCTCAGCACATTTGGCCCCGTCGTTTGGCCGCAAGGTCAGCAGCGGCTACATTTATTATAAGACCTAACCCTCTAAAATGGTTCGCTCATAAACGCGCACTCATAAGAGAGGCGCTTCATTAGAGTATTCGACGTCAGTGTGTGAAACGTGTTTGGCATTTGCAAAAAGCAGAAAATCAGGCAATATTTACTTAAATTCCACACACACAGTTGACCTTCATGAGCAGCACGTTCATTTATAAGCATATATGGGGACTGACTATGCCTGTATCTGTTGGCTTGGCGGTCCCAGTGCGCCGTTACTCGACAAGACTTTGACGCATTTCCCCAGAGCCTTGTGCCATTTAGCAGCAAAACAAATTCGCACTTAGGCTTGCACACCAGCAACAAAAACAATAACAATAGCAACATTGAAATAAATAAAAAAGTGTGTATAAATTGTCGACAAAAGTCAAAATGGCAAAACTACAACAAGAACAACAGCAAGTCGAACAAAGCTGGCATGACCTTAGTACACACCCACAACCACCCACACACACACACACACTTGTGCCCATAAGGATGCATAAGCACAAGCAGAAAGCAGCAACAATCAGAATGTGGCACAAATACATTTGAGAATATGTGCAAATAGCATACTATAAGCAGGGGCAAACAATGCAATGTGGCAGCACTTTGATAATAGTGTTGCCTACTTTTGTGCGTACTGAACCACAACTTTGACTCTAATTGTGTGTGCGTATGGTCGCGTCGCGTCTTTTGTCTGGCCGCAGCTCTTTGGCCCAGGCCAAACAATGCCAATGACAATAAAGCCACAATGCAGCACGGAGGGGCAGCCAAACAACTGAGTTCGTCACTCAACACAATGTTTGTCCAATGGTTATTTATTTGTATGCTTGTTTGTGATCGTCCCAAATCAAATGTCTTTGACCAAAGCTTGCTTTTAAGAAAAATGCTGACTTGGTAGAGCTAACTAGGCGTATTCTTGATATAAATATTGAGCGCATCTTAAAGTCCAAGCACACAGCGCCCAGCTTTAGCCTTCAGCAGACAAAAACGCATTCGAATAGTCGTGACCTTCAAGCCTGCTTAGCACTCCGCGCAACCTTACAGGCCCTGTGGCCCCGCCACTATTCCCGTAGGGCTCACTTTAAAAGCCCCCAAAATGTTGCCAGCCATTTGCTGAGCTCAGCTCGTCGGGGTCCACTGTTTCTGACGCCGTTGTCATAAAACAAATAAAAATGTCGCCAGGCACACAAAAGTAAACAAAGTTCAAGGTTGCCACACAGAAATAAAATAAAAGTAAATAAGTAAAAAAAAGTGGGTTTTGCTTCGTTTCGTTTCAGTTGAGGATTATTTCAATAGTTGAAGGAACATCCGCTGCAGCTTTTCCGCACTGGCTTTTCCGTTTTGCCTCAGAACCAAAGCCCAGGTTGTTACGAGCCGCACAACCCTTTTGCCAGCAACCAGCTGCCAGCTGCCAACTGCCGCTCGCCGCACAGCCTCTCCTTGCTAATGGCGCATTTTATGCGCTGCCATTTTGTTTGTGTGTCTGCAGAGACAAGCGCCTTGACATGTTTGTATTTGCCTACCACTCGCTACTGCTGGGCTGCTTACCCTGCTACAATAAATACCCAATTAGTGTTGACCATTTATTTAATGGCCTGGCTGATTGTGTTGGTTTCTTCGGGTCCAATAACATTCTCTTGCCCACAAATCAACTACACATTTGTTCGTCTTTAAACTAGCTTTCTGCCATATTCCGGTCTTTTGAAAAGTCACCAAAAACTTTCTCAGCACACGTATTTTCCATTTAGAATCAGATTGTTTTTGAAGTTTGGAAATTGTATTTTGTTACTGTCAATCGGAGTTGGACGCGTGTCATTCAAGACCTTTGACAGTGTAAAGGAAGCAATGTATTCTGAAAATCTGTTCATGCCATCAAACGAAAGTATCTGATGTACAGCCAAAAATTTTCTTCTTGCTTATTTTTATCAAATCTAAATCTAAATTAATTTAAATTTCTTGTCCAAAAGTGCAGCAAAAATGAGTAGTAATATTTCGACAGGATCTGTGCAATTCGGTAGCGCATTAAATAATGTGTAGAATAATGCTAATATAGATTTTTTTCGTGCACTTTACATTAGTCTGAAAGTGAATCTTGTATAGGAAGCGTTGACATAAATAATCTAACTATTGACATTAATATCTATCTATAGGAGCTCGTCATGTCGGAAAGTGTCTGCCCGCGTTAAACTTCAATTTAGAGTCAAATGATTGGTTAACTTTAAAAATATTGTGTGTAGTCAGAGTGATTGAAGTGATTGAAGCCCGCTCGCTCTCTAATCAAATTTACCGTTTATGTTTGCTATTTCAGATTCCATTAACACAAATAGAAGCACACATACACAAACACACTTGCACAGACGCATATATGCGCATGGGTTAAATAACTTTTACTGCCAGCAGCATCCAGAAGTCGGGTTTTGCGTTTTTACCCACTGCGCAACGATTGCTGCTGGTCGGTTGCGCTGGCAACGTCTTCCATCAAAATTGTTGCCAGCTTCTTAATGAGCATGCAAAAGTTTACCACACACGCACAGCCGTAAAGACAACCCACTGCCATTCACACGCACATACTAAAAAGGGGTGGTGAAAGTTTTGCTGCTATATGACTTAAAGTTTAATAAAACTAATTGTTAATTTAATTTGCCAGCTTGTCGTTAATTGTTGGCATGCATAATTGAATAATAACTGACGCAGGCAAAGCAACAGAAACAACAATTCTGCTCAGTTGTCCTCTGTCATTGTTTACACACACATATTGCAGCTATATTTCAAATATGTGTTTGTACTGTCATGTCTCGGGTTAAACCCTTAACAGCAACAATTTCATAGTGAATGTTGCATAAAATAAGTTGTGGCTAAAGTGCTTTGCTTTTATTGAAGTGCATTGCGTGCACTGCAATTACGAGAAACAATGTACCAATTAATCTAGTTTATTATTGATCTGTGTCAACAGTGGCAAAAGATGCAACAAAAGTTTATTTAATTGAATTCGTATTTTAAATGCACACAAATTGTTGGCGCCAATTACCAATTACCAATTGACTTGTGCACACTTCACTCGCTCTTGACTTTTCCCTTTGCCTTGAGAAAATGCTGTTTTGCCGGCGCACACAAAGTAGTTTTGCCATTAGAACTTGTACTCATTACGCATACGCCATCTGAGTCGCACAAAGACATAGACGCACACACACGCGGAAAAACTAACTGCATCGCCAATTGTATTTCGCCCTTTTTTGCATGTCTCTCTCTTTCGCTTTCATTTCATTTCCGCTTGCGCTTTTTGCTTCGCACTCAACTTTTATTGTTATGACACTGAGCAAGTCAATTGGCTGGCAACTAACTAACTGTTTAGTTTTCTTGTTAGACCCATCAACAGAGACATGAGCTGCAATTTGCATGTGTATGTGCGAACACTTTTTGCTTGTAAGCCTTTCTATCAAAAGCATTTTGAATGGCATTTTTCTAGAAGCTTCTGGTGTAGAACTCTTTTGATAATATATACAATACTTCAGGGAAACATTAATGCGTTTCATCGTAGATACAAGAATAAGTATCACAAGGTATTAAGCCTTTTGGCTCTGATGATTGTGTTAGGTTTCATCTGAAAAACACATTTACTATAGTCATGTATTATGATTCGTTTTCGAGTTTTTTCTTTGACAATAACATTTTTTCTTACAGAATCAAAAAATAAATCAATGCTTGCTCTGATTTATAATGCGATTTTCATCATCTAAAAGTGTTTTCTTTTTGCAGATAGATTGGGGAGATAGTTTTATATATTTACAGGGTATTCGACTGATTTATACTCCATTTGCATTAAATATTTGAATTTTTGCCGTGTCTAAAAATTGATTGACAGCCATTTTATTGGACTTTTTTATTTAAGGCTTAACAATTTTTTGTGTGTTGTTGCTCTTCACGAAAATATTGTGCACTTTTAGATTTTTTTCATTATTTTCCATCAGTCAAAATTGGTGTCTCTTTTGCTAGCAGAAGTTAAAGTTCTTGGTACATCTGTTTTGCTTTGTTTTGTGCGCTGCTTATGGGCCCCAAAAACTTTTTGAGCGTATTGTTGTTTATTTATTATAATCATTTGCCAAAGTTATGCCTGACTGTTATTCTTGTTGTTGTTTGCACTTGTACTCAGCTGTGTTCTCGTTGGCTTTGTTGTTGCTGCGCCTTCTAATGAATTCAATTAGCATTCATATTATTCATACACTTGAATCAGTGGCTTTGACTCTGGCGCATTGAAGAACATTTATTTGCTCGTTGTTCGGGTTGTTGTCTTTTTTGTTATCTTTTCTTTTTACTTATGCAAGTCAGCTAAAGTTTTTGTGTGCTACTTGTAAAACTAATAAACAAATGATTTGCTACGAAAACTTTTGCACATTTGGGGCCATTGAAATTGCCCTAAGCCGCTCTCAGCTGGGCCACTTGACTCAATTGCCTTAAAATAATTGGCCAATAATTCAGTAAAAATGACCACTTAATTTTGGTTTCATCATAATTTAGTGGCGCTTTGCCCTTTACAGCCAATATTCACACATACACTCACACGCACATACTAAGACGGCACGCCAATGCCTGGGGAATAGCCGGAAGTACAACGTCGTATCCGTATTCACAAATGTTTCTGGCAAATTTGAAGAACACTTGAAGGTCAATCTATCTAGATCATATTTTGGCCAATTTAAAACGAGCTGTAGACATTTGCATATATAAATTATAAAGGCGAAAACCCTTAACATACTAAGGAGTAAAACTTTTAAATATATTATATATATTTTAGGTACTTTAGGTATTTTTAGAAGATGAATTTACATATAGTTTTTTTTTTTCACTTTCTAACGATTCTCTCCCTTTTTCGTTCGCCGTACACCAGTGAATAAATCTTGATAAATCTTTGGATTTTAAAAGTGTTTTTGTTACTTACATTATGCTTCCAGACAACTTTATAAGCAGCAGGATTTGCATGCACTTTACACTCAAAATAAACATCATCGCCTTCCTCGATATCCTCTGGATTTAGATTTGAGCCCAAGTCCAGCTGTAAGGTGGGTATAACTGCAATAGAAGATAATAATGAGAATACAGCTGTGTCTTTTTACAAATACTATATATTTTTATCTACGCAAACATCCATTTGCATTTTGTGTATCTGTGCTGTGTATAGTTTCCTATGTGCTGCCTGCTTTTGGACATGGCCCAGCCTATCAACTGCAATTTGCTATAGTTCTTACTTTAGGTCAAGTTTAGAACAACAAAAAAAAATTAAAGAAAATTCCCAGAAACGGACACAAAAAAGGGAATTGGGGTTAATCCGCGCTCATCTGTGATTAGTGTCGCTTCGAAGGAGTACGTGCCCGCCTCACATTCCTTACCATTACCTTCATTGGCAACGGTTTCGTATTATTTTGCTCATTGTTGTTGCCTTTCCTCCTTTTAGTTTGGTCTTGGGATGTGCTTACTGTTTTCTTTTGCCACGTTTTATAAACAAGTTTCTTTAAGCCGATTTTGCGCTTTGCAAAGACTTGTTAATGAAAATGAAAATCGCTCGCCTAAGCCCAGCGAATGACAGCCAGCTAGAGAATTGAGTAAAAACAGTTAAGCAGATACAGAGGCAGTGAGAGGCATAGACAAAGGCAAAGGCATAGACAAAAGTTGTTTGCATAATTTAAAGACCATTTTGCCTGCTGCTCAACAAGTTCATTAACGTTGACTTTAAGCCCAGTTTGTAGCGAGCAAAGCACAATACTCGCTTCTGGCTTCGGAAAGTAGCTGCTTGGCTGGCTGGCTGGCTGGCTAGCTGACCACACTGTTGCGGTTAGATGGGCTTAAGTGGTAATAACTGTCACTGGCCAAGCTGGTCAGCAGCAGCCTTCGCCCAAACTGGCCAACTTTACTTGGCTAATGCATTTTATGGCACGCAGTCCAACTGCAACAGCACAAAAGCAACGCAAACCCGAAACCCGTAACTGCAGCTTAACGTAACGACTTTTGAATGCCGCTGCCATACTTTGTAGTAGACATTGGCAATGTGCTCCAGTGGCTGCCACTCCCCTCCGGCTGCTTGTCCTACTACTCATTTTGTTCCTAGTGTGTGAGGCCTGTCATTGTCTGTTGGGTAAAAAGTTGAACAACTGCTCGTTAGCAGTCCTTAAATTGATTCCATTTGCTTCTGCTGCTGCTACTTCTGGCTCTGCCTCTGCCACTGATCATATAAATTACATTAACTGAAAAGTACTTCTGTCCTGGCCCGGCCATGTAAGCTGTGAGAAATTGGCTTAGAGTAAAATTAATTGCGAACGGCAGTTGTGCAGTGTAAATAGTTTTGTGCATCCAAACTTGATCGCAACTTCTATGGCGAGGATAATATATTATGACGTGGAAAAAATCTAAAAAGAAATTAGGAGTAGGTCAATTAGGATATACTTGTGCTTAAATGTTTTCGAAAAGCTGTGGCTTATAAACAAGGCTTTCTTGTGTTCACCTAGACTGTTTACATAGAATCTTTATTTTTTGAATACAGCCCATTGCCCAGACTAGGTAGACTTTGTAGCCTTCCATGGCCTTGAGAGCCCAACCCTCTTAAAATAAAATTTTAACAAATTAAGCTCTTTAAAGATATGCTCAGTACCTGTAGACCTTAATGTATATTTAATTTATAGCAATATTTCCCACCCTGCTCGATGACCTTACATATTTTTCACCCTGTCAGCACATGTTTACAGTCAGCTTTGGCGGAACTCCCCTCTTTAAAAGCAAGCTGTTTGAACACACTTATTTATTGCCTGGACATTGTCCACATTTTGCCACCTTGGTCCCCTTTTTGGGAAGCTGCTGCGTCATTATTTTTATTGCGGATATGACTTTAATTTTTAGTGGTTTCCTTTTCATTTAATTTAAAATGTTAATGCGAGTTGATTGGGCGGAAAATTAAATCTCTGCTTAGTTTTTCGCTTTCTTTTTGGGTCAAGGTACCAGCAGCGAAATTTCATAAGATTTCAGATATCGTCGTCTTATGACAGTTCTTATATAATGTGGAATAATGGAACAATTATTGGCTGCTCATTTGCAGCGAATTGCAGAGAACTTTTCAATTTACCCCCCAATGCAAACAACGACCGCGCTTAAAGAAGACACAAAATCCTGCAAGCATGCGAGAGGAAATCACAGGAAGCAAGAGTGGCTGGGGAAGGTGAGGAGGTTAGGAGACCAAAATATTTTAAGCACGCTATAAACATGTAAATGAGCATGGAAATTGAAATTGTTATCTAATTTTTTATATCAGCAAGCGACGCGCGTAAAATTGAGAGTCTGCTTCGAGGCGCCCACGCAGACAGCTTTGGCTTTCGCTAGCACTGGCGCTGCTCCTGCGGCAGCTCCTGCTGCTGTTGCTGAAAGGAGTAAAAGTTTCTTCGGCATTGGGGAACGAAACGCTAAAACTCTTGGATAATAGACGTGGCAACTGTTTGCCTAACGACAACGACAACGGCAGCGACAACGATAGCGTTGGCAAAATTCTTGAGACTATTGAAACATAAACGAGAGCACTTCTATATACTTTTTGTGTGGGTGTGTGCGTGGGTCAAAGTCTTTGAGCTGACACTATGCCAAAAACACTCATATTGAGCCATATGGTAGAGCCAAGATGGCCTTTTTAATATCTTAGCATAGACATTTTATTAACAAACTTTGAGCGCATATTGTTGACTTAGCCCATAAAATAAGCGCTTGACATTCGGGCTGAAAATCGCGAAAACAGAAGAAAAATCCCCATGTCTACGAAATTTATATGCAAATCAGTATTGATTCCGACGACACGGGTGATAAGCGCTTGGCACAGTTTATGGCATTGCCGCTGCTCCTTCAAGCTCAGGCCCCGCACCTTAGCTAGTTTATGCGCCACTGACAGCCATAAAATAAAGCGCGTGTTCAACATGCATGTAATTATTTGACAGGGGTAGCTGCTACCCCTTACCCCTTGGGAAGCGCACAAGTTTTATTGACTTTGCGTTCAACTGGGGCCAGGTTGTCCCATTTGTTTGAATTGAATAATATCTATCTGAAAACAGGTCAGGCGACTGTCACATTTGCATCTGCCGTTAACCATCTGACTACTTATTAACTGTATCAGCTCGATTCAAAAAAACAGCGACAATATATATGTCAGTGAATATTGTATTTAGTTATATCAATGCATGTGTGTTAATGCTGTCAGGTGAAAATCTAATTGAAAGCGTGCCCACTAACTATCCCAATGTTTTGGGATACTATACTATACTAATACTATGTTTAGTATTTCCATTTAGCATGTATTTTCAAGATTGTTTTCTTTTGAAATACTGTTTATTTTGGGGTATACAACTTATATACTCATTTGCAAGGTGAGAAGAGTCTGCTGATTTTGTGTTAGTCCTATATGATAGTAATTTCCTTCAAGCTCGGGACAATTTTAGCACTTTGTCTTGTGATATATTTTTTTGTACCATTTAGTTTGAAGGCTATTGTTACTAATATTTTTACCACGCATCCTCGATTTTGGAAAATGGGAAAACTGGATTTTTTCACAGTCTTAGTACTTTAGTGACCAGTGATTTAGTGATTTTAGAATTATTATTATACTTTCATTTAATTCTTTTATCTGTACCCTAACCTGTTTTTATGTCTACATATTTAAGTGCAAATTCTTTCTTTTACTTACAGAACACATTCAGCTTCATTGCGGTCTCTCGTATACCATTGCGTACCAATTCGTTGGTGGCTCGGCAGGAAAGCGGCTTGCCATGATCCTCCCTTGTCGGAGCTATGGAGAGTATCGAGGTGCTGGCATTGCCGTCCTCAGAGACCTGCGAGGGAAAGGCGATCGCTTTGGGGGTTTTGTTTGGCTCAGTTGATATGTCACTCACCTTCTGACTGTGGCCGTGCATCTCCAGGTTGCCCATCCACCAGGTTATTTTTGCAGGTGGCCTTGATCCAATTGCCTGGCACTCAATCTCATATTTACGGTCAGCCGACATTGGCTGATTGTTGAAGCTGATTTCCACCAGAAGCGGACGAACTGCAAATATGCAAGCGCGTGTGTGTGTGTGAGTGTGTTTTTATTTGTACACATTAATATTTATGGTTAATTTATGTGTTTAAATGCCGTTTAAGCATTTTTTTTTTTGTATATTTTAGTTCTTTATTTTTACCATTTTTGTTTATTCATTCAAATTGCGTGTGAAAAATCGAAAACGCAATGAAAATGGACAAGCAATGCAATTAAAATTAATTGCAACGAATTACGAACGCAGCGGTCGTTCAACAGCTGCACAAAAACAACAACATCATTGATTGTAGTAATATCAATATATTTATATAAGGCTCATACAAATAAAGAAATAAGGCTAGCGCATACATGCGTAAATATATATTGGCTTAAGTACAATGACATTTTACATGATATCCCATAGACACTTTTTCTTTTGTGCCTGCAATACCCAATACCTGTAATATTTAAATATCAATTTTATCATATTCATATTTCATTTATTGATGTATGATGTGTTTGCTTTTGCCTATTTCATGCTTTTATATGTGACTTAACAAAGCGATATGAGCAATGGCAAAAGCTGAATGGCTCCAATGAGCTTAAAATCTGCCAATCAAAAAAATCATCAAATATTAATACCCAAAATACAAATTTGTAACTGCAATTTGATGTTCTAATGCATCATTTGAATAGTTAAAATAAATACTTAGTGTAGCTTCAAAATAACTGCCGGTTGTCAATTGGCGTTAAATATTTTGACCCGAACATTCATTTTCAAATCAAAACAAAAAGTCAGCAATGAAATATGCATATATATTTATCTGAATAGCTGTATATGCATTCAGACAACATGCATATAATGTGAAATCTTGTTAATATTTATTGTGGCTGCACATTGTTTACATGCTAAATTAAAAAGCGAACACACACATATTTGAGTGTTGTGTGTACAGACATATTTGCTAAAATTGTTCATAAAATAAATAAAAACACGGTCACGTAATGTGGCTAGGTTCATTATCGGGTTTACACATTGTTGTCATAATATTACCTAGAAAACAAATTTGTTTACTTTTTTCGTTCGTAGTCGTTTTTGCTGTGTTCAATGGAAATGCAATTTTCACTTATAAATAACGAATTTCAACATTCAGGGCGTTATTTAAATAAATATCATTTCGAGGACGTATTGAAATGTTTTCTACCAGACCTCCTCTCTCGGATGGATGATAGGCATAACTTTAATTTTTTATTTATTTTATTATTTTTTTTTTTTTGGTTGAATACCCTTTACAGGAGTATATTACATTTTATTGGAACATTTGTATATCACTTAGAAAATGAAATCAGGCAATTAAATAAATTTTCGTGAACTAGATCAGATTGCCTTAAAAATAATAGACAATTTGTATGCATCGAAATAAAACATCCAACAAAGTGTCAACTCATTTGGCGCGGTCTAATTCAAATCAAACATTTTCTACGTATATGAGGGCATTATGCCCAACCCAATGTATCTGATTCTCGATTGCAATTTATTTTTTTATATGCCGTGAACTATGGATTTTGTAGGCTACAATTTTCTGCAGTTACTGTTGTTTTTTCATTTATTGTGGTTGGCCGCGAATTTCATGCATTACTTTAAAGGCTTGACATTTCAGTTAAGCCAAAATGAAATGAATATGAAGTAAAAAAATATGTATGTGTATACCTATAATAACCTACAACATTTTATTTATTCAAACCGCATTTTTATGTATGATATTGTATGCGTGTATTTACAATATTCTTATTATTATGTTTTCATTGAAGCAACACTTGCATATATGTGTGTGTGTGTGGTTTTTTCTGTTACACTTGATTGTAATTAAATTAATTATGCCCATTTGCATTGGAAAACCATTTAAATGTTTAATTAAACATACTACAAAAACCAATAGCGCATCCAATGCCTGAGTTTCATTACTTATGCAAACGAACGTTTTTAATTATTAAATATTAAAGTGCTCAAAAGCTTAAATTTAATACTAACGCAAGTATGAAATGCCTAAGAATTTTCAAAACATAAAGTAATTACTGATGAAATACCCTATAAAAAAAATTCCAACAAAACTATGAAAAAATCTAAATTTGTAGAAGCGCTGTACATGATGTGTTGTTCAAAAATAAATTAAATAGGTTGATTATAAAGTCCGCCCGGATGCACGCGCAGGCACGTTAATATGTTGATATCAAATCAAAATTACCGACAAGTAAAAGTTTTAATCGTAAACTTAAATAAAATAAAGCAAATGTTTAATTCAGGGTATAAACAAAGCAATTGACAGTCCATCAAAGTTGGCTTTTTTTATTAGCATTGCCAACTAGTTTAGGCAAGTTATTTAAAATATGCGCTAATGACCCTCGATGCCTGTGCGAGAGTCGTGACATTAGTAATCTAATTGTTAGTGGCCATAAAATTACCTAATTAAGGTCATACTTATTATTCAAAACTTTTTGCCTGCCTGCGGCACGCACAGGGCCACAGCAAAACAAATTTTTGGGGCCACGCAACACCGACACACTCGCCTTTCTCTTTTTCCACCATCCCAACCCTGTTGGCCAAGGTTAAGTGTTGACAAAGAACACTAACATACTTCGGAAGGTATGGATGTCTAAAGTGTACATGTCTTTACCTGTTGTCTGCCATATTAATTAACACGACTTAAAGAGTCAATGACATTTCTGATGTTTGTGCTCCTGTTGTTGTTGTTGTTCTTGTTGTTGGCCACTTTAGTAAACGCGTTCACCCAATAATTTCAGCGCGTTTATTATTGGCGTGTTAAATTTCATGCTATCTAAGTGCGATATTCTTATTGCACGTACACACACATAAAAGTGTGTGTGTGCGTAGGTGTGTGGCGCAATAATATCAAATATGCGCATCACCATCTGTTGTCGCAAAACATTTTTACTTTTATTGGCCCAAGCCAAAGTAAAAATTGACAGCAATTGCTTTTCTTTTTGGGGACACTGAGAGCAGACGGTAAGAGACGGATAGATAGGAGGGGGAGGGAAGCCTAAGTGCCATAAAATTCAATGGCCAATCCTCGGCTGTTAGCGCAAAGCCTTGGGCATAATATTTGGCAATGGCACTGGCTGGCAGGAGCTGAAGCTGAAGCTGGAGCTGACGCAATGCAACACGACCTGAGCTCTGGGTATTGTTTTGCAAAAGTTTCTTTATTTGTTTGGCAAAATAACGGCACTTTACATGAAATTATTGTTAATAGAACGCCATTCAAAACTGTCATCGCGCGCCTATATAAACGGCATTTTTTGGCGGTTAGCAAAGCTAATGACTAACTAATATTATGCACTGAAGAAATTTAAAAAAAAAATATATCAATAGGTATTTATTTCATGCTGTATGCTCAATGAAAATTCAATTGATGCGATGCAGTAAGTGAAAAACTTAATTCTGGTGGGAAATACAAACGTACAATGTTGAATAATAAGAAAATGGAAAATGGAGTTTGCAAATTGCACAAAAGCAAATTGCACATCAGCATTTTACACAGTTCTGATTGGATCAAAGCGAGCAAATACTAATAAGGCTTAAGGGATCAAGCCCTGAACTGTACACTCACACACACATGCATACGGGCAGACAGGCAAACGCACACACGTACGGATGAAAACAAACACAAATTGGCTGCAATTTAATTCAATTTTACAATTTGCAAAGCAATTCAGTGTCGCGCGAAAGGGCAATTAAAAAAATGTTCACAAAATAATAAATCCGTTTGAAAATGCACTTGGATACCACAAATTTATGCACGTGCATCTGTGTGTGGGTTTGTATGGGTGTGTGCATGCGTTAAATGCGACGAATGTTCTGCCAAAATAAAATATGTTCAAAGTAAAAGCAGCTGGAGCCACGACATGCACCGGGTCAGGACGTTATTGAACAGCCGCTGCGCGCAGAATTTCAAAGCTGCATTTTTTGTTGCTATTGTTACTGTTGTTGATTTCTTTTTTTCACATTTGCATAAGCTATTTTATTATCTATTATATTTTTTGTGCCGTTTGTTGTTGCCTGTGAATGGGGTTTATCTGCGCAGCTATTTGTTAAAACTTTTATCGCAACGCTTAAAACCGTGCTGCTGGTCGGGTCAGCAGCAAAAAAATAAAAATAAATAAACTGTTTGCCAAACCGTTTTTAGCAGCATATTTCGTGCTGTTGCTGTTGTTGTTTTGTTTGTTTGTTGTTGTTGCAGGCATCTGGAAACGCTTGAAACTCAATTTAAAATTTTCAATTTAATGCATAGTTAAAAGTGGCAGAACACGAACACGAAGTCGACATATCAAATCAGAACACAACTTGAGCCGAGGGCTTAACCACATATATATATTCTTAAAGTTCAAGTTAAAGTTATACAGTATATATGTATATACAGTTGGGCTATACTTACGATAGAGTTCAATCGTTATGTTGGTGGCCACATATTTCTTGTGGAAGTTGCTCGCCTGGCAGGTGTAGACCGCATGCTGGTGGATGCGTGACAAGTTACGCACCACCAATTTGCTGTTGATGGTGCCGTCGTATGTGTAATCGACAACGCTATTTTGAAGTTGTCCATTCATCAGCCATGTGACAGTCGGCGGTGGCGAGCCTGTAAGGGATAACCAGCGAACATGTATACAAATGAGAATTCTTTAAAGTTGTCGCTATTTTTATTGGAATTAAGCTTGGGGCTTTGGGTGTACTATGGGTCTGATTATTATTTCCTGAAATGCGATGATCCCTTCCTGGAAAGGAAAATTAATGACATTTTCCAATAAGTTCACTTTACAAAATTGAATGCTCCCCCCTAAAAAAATAGACATGAAGGAGTCCTCAATAGAGTAAAATTTACATTTATCATTCTGGAAGACCCAATTCTATTTTAATATTTCCCAGTATAATACCTATTCAGTAAGCGTCACATATTTAGCAGCAAGTCCTCATCGATATGTCTCTCGTTTAGTCTTTTGTTATGCTAGCTAACTAGACGCTAACAACGTTTTCGCTGCCCATTTTGCTGTTGTTGTCGCTGTTGTGTACCTGGCATAGCACTTAAATTAACACACATTACTCATACGCAGCGTGTGGTACTTGGCCGCTCTTAACGACTTCAACTTAATCGAGCAGTGAAATTAGCTTTTGTGTGCGTATATGAGCGCACATTAATTTAATAGCTGCGGGTAGGCCAGATCTACGAGGTGCAAATAAAAAAGAAAACAAAATAAATACACTGTACGAAACCAAAAGGTACCTGAGTCAGGGATTTGTTAGGGAAACCACCAAAGGGTCTAACTGAGTACTTGTTGTATGTTGTAAGCACTCTATAATTAGATGTGCTATCATTATTATGAACTTGGTAAGGTATGATACAACCTAGTACACCTTAATAATTGGCTGGACTGAAGAACTGAAAGTTGACAAGAGCTACATTTGCAATGTCTTCTACTGATAGTCTTTGTTTATTTTTATTATTTTCTGGCGAGTTTTAGTTTAGCCAGATCGTATATTAGAGTAGGCTCATTTGGCTATCATTATATTTTACATATTATTCAAGTACATTTATTTTTATACGAAATATAGTGTTGCTGTTCTATGTTGCTGCCAAGTGCCATCAAATCCACCTGGATATTCGGCAAAACTAACTGCAGTTTATACATATGAAAAATGTCACACACACACATTCATCTGTGTACATATATCATACAAATAAACGCACATTACTTTGATTAATAACTGCCATTTGGTTGAGTTTTATGTTGTTTATAAAAATATTTCACACACTCAAACGAACGGCTCTCTATGCATTCGCACACATACACCTATATGTGTGTTTTGGGGTCACAACATTTGTCTGCGTATGTGTGCACGTAGGTGTATGTGTGTGTGTGTCAGTAGATTAGCGCATATGTACCATGCGGCTTAATGGTCGCCTGTGATTTATTAGCCTCGCAGAAACACAAGCAAAGAACGTGCAAAAGAGTGGGAGACAGGGGGGAGGAGATAGCAGAGAGCCAGTCCAATAAAACAAACAAAAATTGGCGAACGGGCCAAATTTGATTTGGAGTTGCAATTTTTTCCCAGTTGCCACGCAGCTTAAAGCAATTGTAGCGAATGTTGCAAGTTCGCCACGTGATTCGCTGTGCTTTGGCAATGTGCGTGCAGTTTGCTCATAAATTTAACTAATTTGCCTAGCGTTCGCTTTTGTTTCTCAATTTTCCCAGACCTCCGCTGAACGCCAAAATTTAATTAGCGTCCAGAAGTTGCCTCTGCCTACTGCAAGCCCCTTTATCATTGTCTTTTATTGCAACCGTTTGCCGTGTTAATCGCTTGGATCAACTTTCGCTTTCACTTTAAAGTCGTGCCAGCTGTTCTCTCATTTAATCACAAGGTGCCAACATACAAATAGACAAGTACACACGCAAACACATACATACTTATGAGCAACTATGTGCACTATATGTTTTTTTTTTGTGACTGCAGCAGCAGCTAACTTGCATTGCACTGGAAACAAACATTTTTACTGTATGCAGCTTTACATATATTATACCCTGTAAAATTAAAATGTTTCAATGCATTTTTTATTCAGAAGGGAACTGAGTTATTAGACAGTTGATGTCTTGCTGGAGTCCATAACAAAATATTATGGATATCCTTTTTATAGCGAGTTGCCAATAATTTCTCTCGTAAATTATTTAAAATAGAAGTACTGAAAAATGCTTGCTTAAGTTAGTATATTTAGTTTAACTACTTTATCTTGATTATTTAAATGCAATGTAATAGCATGTAATAATAAATAAATTATAAGAGTATCTATTAGTCGGGCTATTTTTCTACCAAGCCTTTTTTTTATTATTTTATTATTTTTATTTTTTGCGAGTGCAGCGCTATTTTTCGAGCAGGGGTTTTTGTGTCAGCAGAGACAATTTAACATTGCTTTGTCACGCCCAGTCCAAACTCTGTTGCCAGCGCGCCCCTTCCCTAATGAGCAGCAGCATTCACATGCGTGCTAGTTTTTTTTTTTTATACTCTTTTAGTACTCATACTTCATTGCTGACTTTGTGCCAACTTAAAGTCGTAGCATACTTTTAAGCGCAAACCTTTCCCGCTAATGCACGCGTCGGCTGGCTGAGTTCTCGTTGCTCATTGTGCTATTTGCTCGTAGAGAGAACACGAAAGAGACTGATGCAGTGCGAGTGAGAGGGACAGAGAGTGGTACATGTGTGTGCTTGGACTTGGCTTAGTTATGCAATGCTGAATAATTTGCTTGTGTAGTTTTGCATATCTTTGCATCTTTTGCATCTGCTATGTGGGTGATACATGCAGCAGAGTGAAGAAAACACAAAGTGCAGTAAATATATATGAATATATATATATATATACATATATATGTTTATATGTATGTCTAAGATAAAACAGCGACTGTAACAACTGGCACGTCTGCTGCTGATAGTTGCAAAAATGCACAGCCACATAAATATTTTTTATTCTGTTGTCTTTTCTACACTTTCAGTTCTTCCTTTTCTGTACACTCTGTGCGTGTGTATTTTTGCGCCTGTCTGGTGTTTGGCATTTGGCTTTTTGTACCCAGCCAACATCCATTGAGGAAGCTGTAAAATAAATTTAAGGACTGCTTCTGGCTGGTGCCCTCGCTTTTAAAGCTGTGCGCAAAGCAGCTAACAAAAACAGGAAACAACTTGCATTCAATCTCTTCTTAAATTTCTAAGTTGTCATTTGTTCTAGAAAGTTAGGGGGATGGGCTGTGACGATTCGGTATCCTCCTGTTCAGTGAGTGTTACCGCATTTAGTTTGAACAAATAACAGACATCTGCATGGCTCGAAAATTTTGCTGGCGCAGCGCATGAATTTTAATACGTATTTTCAGCGAACAGAAGTGCCAGCTGACACAAATTTTGTAATACGAGCTGTTCTCTTCAATGTACAATATTATAATGCATATTTTTGATGAAAAAAACTACCTCCAACCAAGCCTTAAGAAAATTTAAAAGATAAATATTTTTAATATCCTACCTATAACTATATTAAAATAATCGCAGCTCAGTTGGGTATTCTAAATGTTCTTAGTATTTGTGTAAAAAAAAAACATCGAAAGACCGACATATCAGTCTTTACCAATGCAAATATTACCGAATTTAGCTTATGGTGTTAATTTTTGAAATTTTGAAATATTTATTATTTTTATTTGCCAAACTAATTATGTCAGCCACAAAGATTTCTTCAGCAACATTTGAAATGACTATATAAAAGAATTGATTTTCTGATTGGAATATGTATTAAAGGTAAGAACAAGTAAAAAATTAATTGAATATCATTTTTGTATAAGGCTATTATCTTATCTGAGGTTGAAAATTGATATTTATTTCGACATAACATCACTATTTCTAAGCATATCAGCAGAGGCGTAATATTCCCTTTCTCCCAGTTTTTTCTCAGCATGTTATTTGCGTAAACTAAGATTATCGATTTACAATCAGAAAATAAAAAATAAAATCAGCTAAGTGCTACTGCATTACTACTACCAGCTCATCAACTACATCTATCTCACGTAAATGTATTTTACTTTACTTGCTGACATCCAACAAAGTGCTGCACGCCCATTTTGGCGGATGTAACTGACGTGCGGCTAGCGCCACACAATTTGCCTATAAAAAAGATGCCACATTTAAAGGCCGTCACAGTAAGTGCAAAATGACTAAAATATTATGCAAAGCAGCAAGAAGCAGCAACAACAGTTGCGAAATTTGTGGCATGCATTTTACAACGAAGCCTTTTTATGCTTCTTTCTTTTTATTTTTTTAGCTCCCTTCGCTTTGTGGCAAACAATTTCATGCCGGGTCCCCCGTATTGTTACATTTCCGAGCTCAAAATATGGAGAAAAAAAAACAGAAAAATTTTAATAAAAATGCACACAATTTTGTAACCTGGCCACAGGAACAACACCAACAAACAAGGGGAGACGCAAAAGTAGAGGCAATATCCACAACAACATACAAGAAAAGAATACTTTTACTGTGTCAGCGGCGTTCTTTGGCATGAGCGGAAAACGCCTGCACTTCCGTTTGACACACACACGCAGACTTTCCTGGCTGTTTTTTTTTTTTTTTTTCGAGTCAACTCGAGGTACTAGAGAGAATATGTGTGGCAACGTTTTGGCCAACGAAAGCTGCCGCCTGTTAAATTCATGACGTGCAATGCGAAATATTATGTATTAGTAGCCGGGCTAGGCGAGTCCTTTTTAGTGGCGTTGCCATCTAGTCACAAGGCTGAGCACCGAGTTTGTATATTGCCCCATGATGCCTTATGGTTGCTGGGGGTGGTAATTTTTACTGGCACCACAGACTGTGCGGCTTTATAACTTTATTTCTATTCCAGCATTTGGCCCTGTTGGCGTGTCGCGCTCATTTGCAACAGTTGCCAGTCGCGTCCGTTCTGCCCTTTCCCCTGCTGCCTAACTGCAATACAATTTGGTGCTACTTTGTCGATTTTGCACACCCTTAGGTTACCCAAGCAAGCCAAATTACTTGGCATAGGCGCGCGCTCATTGCCATTCCCATCAACTCCTCCGCTTTGACTTACTTCTGCTGATTGCACTTCTTTGAGTGGCAAGTGCTTATTTTTTTTTTGACTTTCTTTAAGCTCTTTTTTATTCGTAACCCACACAATTACAATTTTTGTAATGGACTTTGCATGTTGAGTGCCGGTTTCAAATTTGCTCCCTTTGTCCTGTCTTTCCTGATTGCCAGCTGATCATATTGCCCGACATTTGCTAGTAATTTATTTCCGGCTTCTGTTTAGCATTTCATTGCATCGATTTTCAAATTGACACATAATTTTGGGAATGAAAAATAGAAGTGAATTAAGGGTGTGGCTGAGATATCAAACAAGTTAAAAATAAATTTATTTTTGTTATACGCCACCCTTTTATAAGAAAATGTGCCTAAAGTTAATTGTGCATTACTAAATTGGTCTACAAATATATATATACTTAATGAAATATGCATTTTTGCTAATACATTTTAAAATCACAACTCATTTCGTTCTGAATTAAAATTTGTTTGCCCAAATATTTATAAAGTTCTTTTTGTTGCTCATTTGCCATTGATTTTGAGTCTAGCAACAGAAAGTGCCATCGCATAGCTGTCAACAAACTTAACCAACTACTTGCCGGAAACTTTTAACCTATGCGAGCCACCCCTCAATCGTTTTCCACCCTATCAGCATGTTGGTGGACAAGTGTACATATGTATTCACATTTGTACTTTTATATGGTCGTACATTTAGCAACAATTTCTTGGTCCCGTTTAATTGGCACATACTACAGTTTGAATGCCCAATTTTTTGTGGTTGTAGCCCGTCAAGTGGGTTCGGGTGGGTCAGTCAACCCGTTAGATTAAGCCCGCCCAGGCAGTTGCCAGTCTAGAGTGCAGTTTTCTTGCTGGTGATTTATTTTATGTCAACGTTGACATGTCAAACCATTCAAAGTGGTTTCGCTTCCGTTTGGCCAGAGAGTTTCACCAGTTCGTGGTTCGCAGTCCGCAGCGATAAAGCACGCGATTGCTGTGCTTGCTGTTCTTATTCTTGTTGCGCTTCCTGTTGTTGTTGTTGTTGTTAGGGTAGAGTGTGACATACTTACTGTGAGTGTAAGCCATTGTTATTTGGCCCGACTTGAAACACAAGGCTCCGTATTGCCACACAATGCCCAGCGTTGAGTTTTGTTTCTCACCGTCGGCAATTTTTTTTTAAATTCGTTATCAACAATTGACTCAAGTGTTATATGGCACATACAAATATGTATGTGAATGTGTGCGTGGGTGTATGTGAAGATTGTTGTCAGGTTGTCGCCCATGTTTTCAATGCTGGAATGTGCCTGCCGGCTACCCCCTTTTATTTGCTTAACAATTGTTTGGCTATGCTCAAAGGCAACGTTTTCATTCTTTGGATTAACTTGCCTCCCCATCCTCTCCCTGGGCCTTTCCCTTTGCCATCAAGCCCGATAATTTTTAATCCTTTGGTGTGCTTGGTATATATTTGAGAAATTGACTTTGGCGTTCTCTTTGCCATTCGCTTTCAATTGGCTTTTGTTCGGTGACTTTTGTTGTTCGCTTCTTACAATTCCACTGCTATTTACCTTATTTATTATTTGTTGTTTATGCCGCGAACCATTGTTTGTTTGGCCGCGTACACACCAGGCCATCCCAGACCACCCCAGGCCACTGCGGACAACATTCCTACGAATTGTTTTTCATTTCTTAGCGCGATTTTAATTTCTGATAGGTTTCGTGCTCGAAAATTTATGTTTTAACGATGCCTGTAAACTCTAATTGCTGATTGGATTTCATAAAACCAGCCCGGGAAACGTTATATTTGCTAAATGCTAAAACTCGTGTACTTACCGCCATAGACGACACAGGTAACTTCTAGGCTGCCGCCCTCCTCGTAGGGACCCGCCCGGGAATCGATGCGCAAGCGACGGTCATTATAAATGTTCGGCTGATGTGGAGGCACTATAGAAAGGGAAGGGAATTGGCCAATTAGTTATATGGCATTCATTTGCCCAATCAATTAAGTCTTAGCCAAGTACCGATTTCGACAGTTTTAAACATTCGTCAGCCGCAAATCACATATAATTTGTTCATTGCAAAACATCAAAGGGAATGTACCAACTGGGTCGTGTATCGGCGAGCATATCCACATATATTTTAAATATATGTGCATATATATTTGCATATTAAATTGTATGTTTTGCGGCTAACCAAAAAATCATTTGAGCTAATTTATGCGTGCAGCACGCAGAAAAAAACCTATAAATGTTAATTGCATTTTTTTACAAACGTGACAGCCGGCAAAAAATTTACATAAAATAAATATGATAAAACAAATATATTTTTCTGAGTTCTGGGTGATTAAAGCGCTGCAGTCGGTAAACTTACTTTTATTTTTGATGAAATGCATTTATTTTCCCATTTCATGTAATTTGTATTGAAAAGAAATATACTGAGGCATGTCTTATATATTAAATTATAATGCCATTATATTTTTCAGAGGGCTTTATATAATAATAAAATTTAAATCGTAAATGATTATGATTTGAATTAAAAGAAATATAAATTGCATTGCGTTCACATTCAAAATTTATTTAATTATCAATGTATTATACTTTATTATTTATAAAAAAAATGTAATTGCGATAATTTAATATTACATTTCATTTTAATATGCTTCGCAAAAAAAAAAACATAATAAGCATAATAAATAAAACAGTTGAGAGGGCCCGAATCAAATCATCAATAACTAGACCCATTTATATGAATTCGATACAAACAGGTATGGAAATCTAGTTTTTGTATCGAGGCTAGAGCCCGCACGGTTCAGGGAATCCCGGCAGAGCTCTCATGCTTGAGGCGCAAAGGCCTCAAATTATTTTAGTCTCTTTAAAATGTCTTTCCCTAAATGTTGTCCCCAAAAATTCAATTTTTTTATACACACCAACAACTTCCAAATTGACGTTGCTATTTCTGGTCTGCGATAGCTTAAAGTCCACACGACAGCGAAAGTTGCCCGCATCCTTTTCCTGTTGTGGTGGGTAACAAAAATTCAATTATGGATTGTTGTATTGTTGACACTTTAGCTTTTGCTTTGGCCATTTGGGTTGACTTACCTTAACCGGATTTATAATCAATTCCGCTGGCTCCTTGTGCGTGCGAAAGACGGCCCGATCTTCGAGCACCTCCTCATCACGCCAATGTGAGGGCGTTCCTGCATGGGCTCCACGCGTATCATAACTGTTGAAAACTCGTCACATTTGCTAAAGTTCATATTAAAGTTCAACTCTTTGAACTTACCTGTAGATTGGCAAATTGTTTTTGTACCAAACTACTAGGAGCACCTTGTCCTCCGGCAAACTAGAGCCAACATCGCATTTGATTTGTGCCGAATTATTGACGAGCACGCGCAGAATGTCACCATCTGCAAAAGATAGCACAATAAAATGAGTGTGTTCAATTTTTATTGAATTTTATTAAACTATATGAGTAAATGTTTCTGCAATTTCTTGACCGTTTCTGAAAATAATTGAGTTTTGACAACTGGCTTACTATCGATTTTTGTTTTGGTTCTTTATTTGAAATTTTAAATATTTCGATCCATTGAATTTAGTATGTAGACTATTGAAAATATAAAAAATACAAATCACATTCATGGCCCCCGCATTATTAATAAACCAATTTGTGCCCTAATGCGTCTAAACGGCAAAGGCAATTGTGGTGCTCTCGCTGAAATAGTTTTATGCGCCTAACGCAGCCACATCATTTTGCTAAGCTTTAAAATATCGATCGACTGACCAACGTGTAACCAGCATCAAAAAAAAAAAAAAAAATAAATGCCAGATAGGAAAAAAACAAAACAACAAAATCAGAACATCCATGAAGGCGGCCGCATAATGCGCCAATGTGCCGCAAAAACCCGGCCAATGCTGCCGCACGTGAGGGAAGCTGGATGAGGTGATTACCCAGCCGCATGCGGATTACAAAATGGCTGCCATTTTCATGTTTTTGCACTGTGTGTGTGGGTGTTTGTATACTTGTATGCGGTAAAAATGCAATGCGTATAACGTAAAAAATAAGACTAAAAGAGCTAGCAACCACAACAGCGATGTCAAGAACTACAGCAGCAAGAACAGCAACAACAACAACAACTGTGAATTGCGAATTGCAAACTGTGAGTTGGTTACCACATTGGGAATAGCATAAAGCAAACTGCTAGAAAGCGCCTTGGGCTGGGCTTTTGTTTCCAATTTTGCACTTGTGTGCGCAATATAATCGCAAAGGCCTACGCACACTCCCAACAAAACGTCTACATACAAACACGCATCCATACACACACACACACACTCAGATAAACACACTTATATTACTTTCGGTTGTGCCCGGCAGGCACTGCGTCACTTTGTCTACAAACAAACAGGCGACCACATGATAAATAATCGATAAATTATGTGGACACATGTTTAATCTAGCATGAAATGGAATCATTTCCCTTCAATTTGTTGTTAGCCAACCAAGCAGCCGGGCAACAACGACAGCAACAGAAACAACAGCAACCAAACACACAACAGATGTGCAATAGATGGAATTTTTGAGGGGCTATGGTGCTTTGTGGGGTGCCTATTTAAATACAAATAATGAGCAGTTTATAAATGCCAGCGAATATGTTGTTATCGTTGCAGGCAGCTCAAAACTGCGCGGGGGAGGCGAATGAAATTATCGCACATACGCCATGTTCAGCGTAGTTGCACACACACTGTACACACACACACATGCCCACACGCTGCCAACTACAACGGCGAACAACTTGTGGCCCACTGACCGCGTGCAGCAATTACATTTGCCCCCACCATACACAATGCCCACATAATGATAGATTTATCATTTGCTTAATTGCTTGGCTTGGAACAGGACAACGACAGCTTTAAGGCTGATGCTGCTGCTGTCTCTACATTTGATGATTAATAATTTATTTAATTAGCAGACAGTTTATTAAGTGTACGTGTAGCATATAAAGCCTACGCCATGCTTACCACCGAGTAAGACAAATATTGCCAAACAAGCATATATAAGTATACAAACAAACACTCATAAATGGAATTATGAAAAAGTAATTAATTTATTAAACTTAAAGGTAAACAAATGAAAACAGAAATGTAAGCGCAAAGGGGTCTTTAATATGAATGAACAGCAATAATGAATTATAAATTGTATTGAATTTAAATTAAAATAATTAATACTTAAAATATAAATTTAAATTTTAAGAAATAAATATGCATACATTGTTATAAAACAACAACTTCTGCAATACACATTATATTATTTTGAATACAATTGTATTCTAATTATAAAAGTTTTTAATTTAAAAGCTGCTCTTTTAATTTCAATTAAATGTTTTATTAGAAAAACTTAATTCCAAATATTTTCTATGTTTTCTAGATGTCTCAAATTTCTCTAGGAAAATTTAAATTTTCAATCTGAGATTCTGTTTTGAAATTTTAAGCTTAAATAAGTTAATTAAAAGTCAAATTTATGCTGCGCCACATTACTTGCCGATGTATTTTATACTCTACGTTGGCCGAGCGAAACTTTTGTTCCAGTTAACTAAGAGTGCCACTAATTACATTTATATGGCAAGTTGTCCGTCTCCTGCTCTGTGTCTCCGTTTCTCTTTCTCCGTTTGCTTCGCCTTATCTTCATGCTGTGCCCGATACAACAATGAAAATGCCAACAACAATGGCTTCAAGTAGTGGCTGCCTCTTACAAAGAGTCACTTTGCTGTGTCTATAGTTGCTGTTGTTGTTGTTTGTTATTATATCTGCGCACTATTGTTGTTGTTGTTGTTGTCTGCTTTAATGTAATTGAACATTTTCTAATTGACACTTGTCACTGGCAAAAACATTTTCAGAACTTCATTTTGACGCATTTACACATACATTTATTTCAATTTCCTTAACAACAAAAGCAGTAGCAACACGAACAACAGTAACAACAACAGCAATTGCACGCATACAAAAACTAAATAAAGTTGTAGCACAATAGCTCCTACGTCTGACAATGCTACACGAAACGTAGCTCGGAATTTATTGCATTGGCTGTACAAGGAGCGTTGAAAAGGGGGGACAGCTGCCTGCCTGCTGCTGTGCTGCAGTTAAGGAAGAAAAAACACTCGCTCGCACACAATGCCAGCAACGACTGGCAGTCAGGTATGCAATCTGGCCATGACGTCCGTTATTCCTACTCTCATGGTCGCCCTTGGCAGTCGTGAATCCATAGCTAACAGGCGATGCAACTAAATACAAAAACCACGTGACAATGTTTTCAGAACAACAACAGCAACAACAACGTGTATGGGTCAACATTTCAAATGGATTTGCCGATAAAAAAAGAAGGTCGTAGCCTTGTCTATGGTCTATCGGGTGTTGCAGCAGCCAGCAACTTTCGTATTTGTCGCATTTGTCACAAGGCGTAGTGCAAACCGCATTAGCCTTCATCAAGCCGAACAAATGCCGATGCAAGGCAAAAAATTAAAAAACAGACACAACGTACAGCAAATATTGGATAACTAGGCGAATGCGTGATATGTTGGCGTTACACAAAGTCAATATGCTTTAGGTTCTGCTCAACGCCCGGAATGAGAGAGTGTGTACTCAATTGCTGGTAAATCTTTAAAGTAGGGACGATTTATTCAACTGATAAGACTTAAAAAAAAAACATTTTTAATTTACAGAACCTACAGAACAATGTAGGAAGCCCGCTCTGTATTAAAATGTAGTTGTTTCACTTCTGTTGAAATTAAAACAGACCAGATCTTGCAAAATAATCGATCCCAAACATCTAATCAATGCTTAGTGTGCAAAGGAACTGTATTGCTTTCTATTCAACTAGTTTGAGTGCATTTTGTCGACTATCATAATTCTCGTTTGCTAAAATATAAAAATAAATATAAAACGTATACAGCATAATATGGACCTCTTAATTTTCTTATACCGCGTATACAACGCAGCTCTTAATTTACTTTTCCGAGGCATTATGTATACGCCATGAGAAACAGATAATGTTCTGATAAAAACAAGAAAACAGCAAATAATGTTCAATCAAATGTCAAGTGAGCACGATTCTCTTTTGTGTTTTAAAAAGTTAATGCATTTTCTATTTTTCATGCATTAGTATTTCAGCTGCACCATTATCGAAATGCCATAAATGCTGGCAGTCAAGGAGTCAGCCTGTCAGCTGAAAGCAATTGACTGCCACAGGAATCGAGCACTGACAGCGCCAGAAGAAAGAAAAGTGCAGCAGCACAGCCAACTAAGGGCTGCATTAAAATGATAACGTCAAAACTTTTGTATTAGAAGTTAAGCTAAGCGTCCTAAACTTTTGCAGCTAGCCGAAAATCGAGTTGAATGCAGCTCAACAAGAAAATTATGAGGGTAACATAATAATAATAATAAAAATAATAAAAGTATAGTTGGTAATATTAAGATGAGTATGAGCCACAGCAACAATTGGATGCGTACCACTAAAAGTGAAAAATCAAATGCGCAAACTTTGCTGTGACACGTGGAAACCCAAGGGCTTAGCTTCTGGCGATAGCAAGCACCGCAAACAGGTCCGGATCAGTGCGGCCACATGCCATGTTCTATGGAATTTTTTTTCATAGCTCGCGAACATCGTTAGCACAAATTGTTGTTTGAGTTAACAAGAGATTTGCTAATGCCAAATGACGAAACAAAAACTTTAGCAAATCAGAGAAAAAGGTAAAACAAGGCCAAGTTAACCACAAAGCTGCTGACTAGCCCGCATTTGGGCAGTCGGAAAAAATTTAGCTTTAATTCTGTACGTCTGGCAAGTTTGCCTCTCAGTCTTATGTCTGATAAGCTGATGCATAAATCACAATTTGGTTGCGCTGTAAAGTATACGATCGCAACACGTTTGCCAAGTTGCGGGGCAAATTGGTGGCCAAGTTTATTAAACGTCTCGCGACTTTGGCAATAATTTCGATTTTGGGCATGCAATAAATTTTCTTTAATGTGCAATTTATGGGACACCATTTAATTAGTTTCCGTTGCTCAGGCCCCGGCCAAATTGATGTTGACAGAGATTATTGGCTGGGCACGTAATGCCCGTGAAGCTGTATCTTCCCAACTCTCAATCTTTCCCCGCTAAGTCCCCCTTTGACTACGCTCAGCTAATGGCCCAAAGTTGCCGCTGGCATCTACTTTATTTGTACGTGTCGCTGGGCCCGACTGGCTCCCGGCCATAACTTCCGCTTTACGCCCATTGACCTCGTCAACATTTATCTACCGGTTAAATGCCTTATATGGCCCATATGTCTGCTAGTGCTTCCCACATGCTGTCCAAAAGTTTTTGTTTTCGACTTGGCTAAATTTGTTGTGTTTTGTAGTTGGCCCTGCATTTGTTGTCTTTGTGTTAGTTATGATTATTGCCGTGTTTATTGCGATTGCTGAAAAGCCCTTATCAAGATTAATTGCCGGAAAATTTTTATGCACACCACAATTGACACTTTCAGGGCATGCCAATTGCCAATGTCATCGCTTATTACCGAGTTAAATTTGTGTCCAAGTCATTTTTGTGGCATGTGGCATAGTTAAGTTCTGAATTGACTCACTAGTTTGTCAGGTCTTAGCGAATGCCCGCAAATCGATCGATAAAATTTACATTATTTAAATGGAAAGACTTGTACATTTTAATAGGCCGTTGTCAGGCCTAGCAATTGAAGCATGCAAAGAGGTATTTAATAGTTTTTTCTTAAGTTCATAGCTCATAAAATATTAAGCAAAATTAGCTACTACAAAGAACACTAATCAAACTATGCAATGCGCAAGACAAGTAAACAAGAAAACGTTAAATTAATAGGAATACATTTAATAATGTACATAACATTCTATATTAAATTATTGTTATTTCTGCTGAAAACTCAGTTTTATGTGCAACTTTCAATTAGCCTTGCGCACCTATCCTTGAATGAATCAGATAAAAATAAAGCTGTGCTAGTTATAGTTACTATGTTTTTTGAAAATTTCCAATAAAATAATAATTATAATAAATATACAGGCAAATAAATTACAGGTGTGAAATATTTAAACTGTGCTGGTAAATAATGTCCAATAAAAATAAAGCATTTACAAAACAAGTAAAAGCTATATATATATTCTATTTTAGAATCTATATGTCAAGTTTGGTGACTCTATCTCTTATTATTTACCGAAATTACCCAAAAAACAGGATATCGATATCGATTTTTATCGATTGCTTGGAAACGGAGTAAGTTATCGATTATCGGAAACAAGCTCGATCTGAGCAGGCACTAGGAGCACCTACATCTAAAATTTCTAGCTCTTATAGGTTCTGAGATCCTTGCGTTCATACATACGGACGGACGGACGGACAGACAGACGGGCATGGCTAGATCGACTCGGCTATTGGCTATCCTTCTGCCTGTTACATACATTTGGATTTTGCACAAATACAATATAACTTTATACCCATTTTTAATGGGTTCAGGGTATAAAAAAGTAAATAAATATATTAAATACATATATAAAATATTTTTGATTGGATACAAAAATATTTACGTATATTTATTTAAAAAATATTTTTGTGGCATGCTGTTTTATACCGTTTTTTTTTTTTTAGCGTTGTGTATTATCGTAAGTGTATATATCTGATATACAAACTGCTCAGCTACCCCTTTACGATTTTCCACCCTTCGATCACTGGCGTACAGCTTTTGCATTTCCCAGTACTGGTGCACCCGCCCAAAGAAAATATATTTAAATGTTTTATAGTGCTCTGCTATGTTACAAAAAAAAACTATTACAACATGCAAATTATAATTGCGCTATTAAAAATTGCATATTAAATGCGACACAACAAAACAAAAGCAAAAACAACAACAACCTGAAGGCATTAGCTGAAACAAGCGATGGGAATGTGTAAGCCGACGCCAAACAGTAACACGAACAGCATTGGGCAATGCAACACTAACACAAACTGCAACAAACACAACGACGACCACTCAGCAGCAGCAACAACAACCAGCGAAAGTCCTGGCAAATAGTTTAAAGCATGATTTTACCCAGCGCACGGCACGCACCAGAAGCAGTCAGAGCTGCAAATGTGTGCGAGCACGTGAGTGTGTGTGTATGTGCATGTTTGGCTGTGTGTGTCAGTTGTTGCGATTGTTGGTTTACTGCCAGCAGGCAGCAAAACCTTGGCCCATAAATTATTCATTGATTAGCAACAAATGCCATTAAACATGCACCCAAAGTGCTTTGCCTGCAGTCAGCGCAACTAGCAGCAGGAGACTTGTGTTTGTGTGCGAGTGTGTGTGTTTGTGTGTGTCACGCATTTTAAACTGTCATTTGTTAGGCGTCTGCCTCTCGAAATTGCCCAATTGTTGGCTATTGCTGTCCCCTGCCAAACAGTCGGCCCAAGAGCGTGCTATAAATTATCCACTGCTGCTGGCAGGCCATCAAAGAGCGCTAAACGGCTTACACTTTGCGCATATTTTGGCCAAAATCCGCGACCTATGCCCAAATGTACGCCCCCAAGCTCACGCCCACGCGCGACAATAACAGTTAATGCTGCCGCTGCTCTTGCCACATCCAAGGCCATGGAAAAAGCTCTACTCACTTTCTAAATTTTTTTTAATATACCCTACTCTTGCACAGGGCTAAGTCGCTGATTCTAATCTGCCTGTAACACGCTATAAATCAATGGCAACAGTGTTCGGAATTCTATAAGGCCTTTTTGCATTTTAAACCCGAACTACTCCAAGTGAGACGCGAATTGGGACAAGTGTAATATCAACTTATATTCACTATATAAAAGCGATTGGAATGGAGGTTAACTGCAGATCAGTCACATACTTATAATGCGTATACACTCATATAATTTCTTGATCACTTTTTACACTCGCAAGTTGAGAATTGTTTTCAATCTCATTACCACACTAGCAAATGCTTATTTTTCTCTTAAACTCTGCTTTGTGCACTATTCTTAAGCGATTTAAAGTACTGTTACATAGTTTAACAACCAGTTAAACAATTTATACCCTTTTATTTATTTGTGTTGCATTTAATAGCTAAAAGATAGAGCTTATCATTTTATATATTCATCATCTCAACAAAATAAATCGCACTAAGAGCATTACAAGTTCGTTGTGATTTAACCGTGGCATTTTCTTCTTTGTTGTTATTTTTGAGCGCCATTTTATTTTCGCTGAATTTTAATTTAAATGTTTTTGGCAGCCTTTTTGGTTGCTTAAACAAAAAAAAAAAAAGAAAAAGTTTCATGTCAACGGCTTTTAAGCGCTGATTTCGTACGGAATTTAGTGGGTGGAGCTGGGCGCATACGAGTTGAGCGGCTTGATAAAAATCTGAAAATGGCCAGCAAAGCGAACATTTTTCAATGGCATTTTTTGTGCTTCGCTGTGGGCCATAGGTGACCCTGAGCTGCGGTTCCTTTCACATACGAACTTAGGTCACGGACTGCAAAACGCATGAAACACACATACAGATGGGTCAGACGGGACACACACATGATTTATGCAGCTGGTGTTCTGTGTGCGGCTTTTAATTTGCTTAATTTTGCGCTTAGCCACAGCAGCAGTGGCAGCAGCTGCGTTGGTGGCCACTTTGCCACAGCCGGCAACCCCTTTTCAATTTCAATGTGAAAGGCTTTCATCACTCGTACTCTGTACTTTGTGCCTTTCTCAACCCACTCTATATTTCTCTCTCACTCTTTCGCTGGCTGTGGCTAATTTGGCAACAGCTGTTGACCATTTTTAAATGGAATTTTGCGGATAAACATACGTCTGTCTTTTCGCTTTCTGCCACATTGATAAATAGCGCTTATTTAAGGTACTTGAACCTCTTGCACCCCTGAGAATCTATGTCACATAGAACCCACACACACACAAAAACACACACTCACAT